GCTGAGGAATCGAACCCAGGGCCTCAGGCATGCAAGGCAAGCGCTCTACCACTGAGCCACCTTCCCAGCCCCTAAAACATTTTTAAAAAAGAAAGGCGAGGCATTTTTCAGCCTGAATATAAACTTTGGCTTCGTGTTAAATAATTAAAATATTAAATATACTGGTTCTATAAGAGGAAGGGTCTATGTGTATGTGACAAAAAGTTTAAGCATAAATTTGAACTGTAATGAATACACCAATTACTATATTAATAATTTAACAGATAATAGTTTTACTTGCCTTTTTAGAATTAAGAATGGATTTTGGAAGATAATTTGATTGACCCAAGTATATCTTCCACACACACACCATTTTTTTGTGCCAGTTCTGAGGCTTGAACTCGGGACCCAGGCACTGCCTCTAAGCTTCTTTTTACTCAAGGACAGAGCACTACCACTAGATCCACAGCTCCGTTTCTGGCTTTTTCTTTGAGTAGTTTATTGGAGCTAAGTCTCACAGACTTTCCTGCCCAGACTGGCTTTGAACCACAATTCTCATATCTCAGCCTCCAGAGTAGCTAGGATTACAGACATAAACCACTGGCACCCATCACACATCTTCCATTTTCATTTTATTTTTTGTCTTTTCTTTTTTGGTACTGGGGATCGAACCCAGGATGTTGCACTTGCTAGGCAAGCTTTGCCACTGAGCTACATCCCAGCCCAGATCTCCCATTTTTAAAAGGCAGTTAAATTCTTTTTTTTTTTTCCCTTGCCAGTCCTGGGGCTTGAACTCAGGGCCTGGGCACTGTCCCTGAGCTTCTTTTGCTCAAGGCCAGCTTTCTACCTCTTGAGCCACAGCACCACTTCCAGTTTTCTGGTGGTAATTGGAGATAAGAGTCTCACAGACTTTCCTGCCTGGGCTGGCTTTGAACCAAGATCCTCAGATCTCAGCATCCTGCTTAGCTAGAATTACAGGTATGAGCCACAGGCGCCCAGCCACAGCAGCACTTCTGACTTTTGCTGCTTATGTGATACTGAGGAATGGAACCTGAGGCTTCATGCATGCTAGGCAAGCACTCTACCACTGAGCCACATTCTCAGCCTGGCAGTTAAATTCTAATCATTTTCAAGGACTTACTCAACATTTCTTCCATTTACTATTTTATACTTCCTCAATTTACTTAAAGTTGTTAGTGCTGTCAGTCAGTAGCAAACCAAAACAACACCACAGGAAACAATAAGCTTTCATGTCACTTGATTTCATGATTTAGTGCCACAGACAGCTCTGATCCACATACAGACCACTGCTCAGAAAAAGTTAGAAAAACACTCAGAGAGACCACCCTTGATTCTGTGACTACTATAGGAGGCTTATGCCCAGAAACTCCGGCCCCTGCAAGAGACTGCTTACAAAAATGTCTTTTAGCCAAGTTCCATTTGTTTGTTTGTTTGTTGGGTCATGGAGCTTGAACTCAAGGCCTGGCCACTGTCCCTGAGCTCTTCTGCTCAAGCCTAGTACACGACCACTTTGAGACATGGCACCACTTCTGGTTTTCTGGTGGTTAATCGGAGATAAGAGTATCAGGAACTTTCCTGCCTGGGATAGCTTTGAACCACCATCCTCAGATCTCAGCCTCCTGAGTACCTAAAATTACAGGTTTGAGCTACCAGTGTCCAGCGAGGATTGACATAATTATGATGTCTCCTCCCTTACTTAAAAAGGATGTGTTATAATATTTCAGTCAGCAGCCAGGCCCTGGTGGCTCACACCTGTAATCCTAGCAACTCAAGAGGCTAAGATCTGAGGATCAAGCTTTGAAGTCAGCCTAGGCAGGAAACTCCATGAGACTACTTCTAATTAACCACCAGAACTGGAAGTGGCACTGTGTCTCAAAGTGGTAGAATGGTAGCCTTGAGTGAAAAAGCTCAGGAACAGCACCCAGGCTATGAGTTCAAGCCCCACCACTGGCAAAAAGAAAAGGATAGAGACAGTCTTTTTTTTGTAAGTAGTTGTCCCAGATACCAATTTCTGCCATAAAGATGTCACCATTCAAGTTCTTTTATTAATCATTATGGACCAAGAAAGTTAATTAGAAAAACAAAGGGAAGATAAAAAAGACAGTACACACCCCTGACGTGGCTATAATACATGGTGAACAGGTGCAAGGAGTGCTCTAACATTGGGATATTTATGGTGAAAAGGGGGCTGGGGGTTGGCTCACATTCATCACACATTCTTCCTCTCTTCTCCTCCCCCCTCTGGGTCACTGTCCCTGATCTTCTTTTGCTCAAGGCTAGCACTCTACTACTTGAGCCACAGCACCACTTCCAGCTTTATCTGTTAATGTGGTACAGAGGGATTGAACCCAGGGCTTCATGGATGCTAGGCAAGCACTCTATCACTAAGCCACATGCCCAGCCTTGGTCCATCATTCTTCCTGTTATACTATTTCATCAATTGGACCCAGAGATGTCAAGGTTAGTCCGCTTATTAACATTGGGTCATTACAACATAGATATTTGCACATCCCTTCAAAGAATGGGTTCTGCTGGATGCTCCCTTCAAGACAGGTGTCTGTCCTTGAGATAGTTTTCTCTGTAAACACTTTCTGTGCCCAAAAGACTTTTCCAGGATAAATGTTTTTAGGATGTCCCTGTTCAGTTCCAAAGTACAATAATCATTTCGGCAAATGAATAAGGTCAGAGCTAGAGAGCTGCTTTTCTCCCCATTTCTTTTCTTTTTTATTCTCACGAGAGAATGTCAGGCCTAAAACAAAGCAAAACGGCACCAGTGTACTTTTCATCAAGCTACTGATTAATGCAAGGTCTGCCCCCTGATTCCCATGTATCATTTTTTCTAATCTATTCTGCCTGGGTTCAAATATGGTGAATAATGAGCACTTTTCCCTCCTGAGTGCATGGATGGCACACATGCATCTATCTATGGAACAGTCTTCACACTTAGAACAAGAAAGGCTTTTTGCTTCATCTTCCTCCAATTCCTACTTGCAATCTGTGATCCCAGCTAGAGACGGGAGGATCCCTAGGTCCTGATGTCCCACAGATCATTTGTCTCTTGGATTTCAGGTTAGTGCCATGTCCAGTGCACTGTGTCGTCTACTGCAATCAAGTATATGGTAAAGTAGTGTTGGAGGAACTGGAGTCCTGGCCTCAAAACCTGGAGATCCATCAATTCACTTAGTCCAAGGGCAGTCTTGTGAGGGGACTGTAACCTTCCCAATGTTATGACAAGAACTACTAAGGGGTTTTAGTGGCTTGCTTACGGCTGCTCAGCTAGAACAAAAGATGCAGCCTGATGCAGACCAGGGATCAAGCTCCTGTGCTCATTACTCCAGAAGCTGATGACTGCCACTTCCCATCCCCATGGCTTAATGCTACAGGTTCTGCAGCTTGTGGTAGAAGCCCATTCAAGTTCTTCCTATTTGTATCAATGCAGTCAAATCCTTCCAAGTCCTGACAGTTATCCGTTGCACTGTCAACAATGTAATCATAATCCATTCAGTACTGGTTCCAGCCAGATGTTGGTGGACTGGCAATCATGTATGTATATGCATCCTGATTACAGAATAGGAATCTTAAAAGAAAAGAAGACAAACATGGATTTGCTTGCCCCAAAGTGTTAACAATTATAGTAATTTATATAAACTGTTTACTATTTGTGACTAATTACTACATGTGTTATAGATATATGGTAGGCCACATACATTGTACCCTCTTATTATTGCAGATTAGAAAACTGGGTTCTCTTGCAGTCACAGTGTAGGATGTGATTTCTTTTAGGTTGAGCCTATCAGACACACAAGATTTGGAAAGCAGAGTGGCATGGAGGTCCACCTTGACTATTTCAGTTGCTGGTTCTGTGCACCAGCAACATCAAAGACTAGCCAGCTTCACTGTGTGACTGTTCTCTGTAGAAGGGTAAGTTGTTTGGAACCACTCTGTTGGTGGCCTGACTTGTACCAGAAAGCCAATGTATAGTCTACTTCATCAACTTTCAAATGATTTTATATGCCCTAGGATAAATTTATTTGCATTCAATTATCTGGAATAGAGTCTAGTCCTTGCAGCTGAACTTACAAATAAATAACACAAAGAAATACAAATCTTCCCCTTCAGGGACAGAAAATGTGTCCTTATGTTAGTTTATATCTGCAACAAAGTATTGTTTTATGATTGCAACATTCTACTCTATTCATGCTCAGTCATTTGTTTTTGTTGTTTGATACATTGTTTCCTTATATTGCCCAGATTGGTCTCAAACATTCTCTTGCTTTCTGAGTAACTGGCTAGATATGTGCACCACTGTATGTGCACTATTTCTTCAGCTTTCTGAAGAAATGCACAATTTTCTACTTATGAAGAAATAGTGTGGTCCATTGATGGAATGTTCCTAAGCATTCTTGTCAGGCTGAGTGCCGGTAGCTCACGCCTGTAATCTTAGCTTCTGGGGAGGCTGAGATTCTCAGTTCCTCAGATCTCAACCTCCTGAGTAGCTAGGATTACAGGAATGAGCTATCATTGCCTGGCTTTGTGTGTGTGTGTGTGTGTGTGTGTGTGTGTGTGTCCTGCAGCTTGAACTCAACATTGACACTGTCCCTCAACATTTTTGCTCCAGGCTAGTGTTCTACCACTTGAACCATAACTCCACTTTGGCTTTTTGGTAGCTATTGGAGATAAGAGTCTCATGCACTTCCCTAGTTGGACTGGCTTTGAACTGTGTTCATCAGATTTCAGCTTCCTAGTAGCTAGGATTACAAGCATGTGCCATTGGTACCCAGATAATCTAGGCTTTAAAAACCCAAAAAGCAAACCTCCACAAAGAACCACCCCCCACACAAACAAACCATCCCCCTACAAATTCTACAACACCAAAAAGAGACATCTTTAGGTAAAAATAATGAAAACTTCATGCTGCATAATGAGATAGTGCTAGTTCATCTGGTCAATGGGTAAAAAGCAAGCATGTAATGTCTTCACCTTCAATCTTTTCTTTTATTAAAAATATGGAATCTTTCACAAATGTGTCATCCTTGAGCAGGAGCCATGCTAATCTTTTCTGTACCACTCCAATCTTAGTATACAAGCTGCCGGAGCAAGCACTTGGCTTAATTCCAGAAGACTTAGCATGTAATTCTGGAAAGAAGTGTTAATTGAAAGTACACTCAAAAGTTTACGATAAGGGGCTGGGAAGGTGGCTCAGTGGTAGAGCATTTGCCTTGCATGCATGAGGCCCTGGGTTCGATTCCTCAGCACCATATAAGCAAAAAAGAAAAAGAAAAAGAAAAAGAAAAAAAGTTCACAATAAGTGAGGTAAGCCAAGCACAGAGAGACAAATGGCACGTTTTCTCTCATATTTGGAAGCTAGATCCAAAATGTAACTGGACACGATAACCTATACAGAACTTGAGGCATTCACACACAGACAGACTAAAGGAGGATATCCTTAGGGGAGAAATACAAAGGTATAACATCTCTGTACATTTAAGATATGAATTATTGAAATGAACTCCAGGAAATGAAAATGTTTTCTGTTGGTGATGGTGGTTGTTTTAACTTTGGTTTTATTTTTCTTCTGGAAGGAGTGAAAGAGGGTGAAAAGGTGTAGAAGGGGAGGGAAGGTAAACAGATGCAATCATGCTGTTCAGTATATACTATGTAGAAAATGACCTATGTAGCTTGTAGGCAGGGATGGGAGGGAGAAACTAAGGGAAAGTATAGGAAGGGATGACATTGTCTGAAAAAAGAAATGTACTCATGACCTGACTTATGAAATCGTAGCCTCTCTGTACAACGCATTAATAGTAACAATAATAGAATTACTTTTTTCCCTATTCACCTGTAATATCAATATTATGCTTTGCTTCCTGGCATTTATTTCCATTTATTTATCTACTTTTTTTTTTGTTGATCATGGGGCTTGAACTCTGGGCCTGGGCACTGTCCCTCAGCTTTTCAGCTCAAAGCTAGCACTCTTATCACTTGAGCCACAGCACCACTTCCAGCTTTTTCCATTTATGTGGTGCTGAAGAATCGAACCCAGGACCACAGGCATGTGAGGCAAGCACACTATCACTGAGCCACCTTCCCAGTCTATTTATCTACTTTTTTAGAGGCAGGTCCAGTCAGGGTTTGAACTCATGATATTCCTACCCTCAGTCTCTTAAGTGCTGAAATTACATGAGTGGACCACTATGCTTGGCTACTTACTGTTATAGTTCTAGGGATTGAACCAGGGCCTCATGAATACCAAGCATATGTTCTACTTCTGAGCTATGCCTCCATGCAGTTGGCTCCTATTTAGAAGCACCTGGGCAACCAGATTTTTGTATATGTCTCAGGTAAAATGACTGATCAAGAATCCGTGAAAAAGAAGCCGGGCGCTGGTTGTTTATGCTTGTACTGTACAGGTGTGAACCATCAGTGGCCGGCTTAGCCTTCATGTTTTTATTTCTATTCCTTTCTATTCCTGTTAGCTTTTTATTTCTTTTTCCTGCTTATAGAAGTGGCAAAAACAGATGTCTTTGTCTTATTCCTGATCCTAGGGAGAAAGCATTCAACAATACTACCTTTAAGAGTGTTATTAGAACCAGGTGCTGGTGGCTCACACCTGTAATCCTAGCTTCTCAGGATTACAAGATTACAGGATTATTCTGAGATCTGAAAAAAATAGCTCAAAGACAGTACCCAGGTCTTGAGTTCAAGTCCCAGGGACTAACACATACACACACAGAATCTGAGAAAAAAATAGAAGGTTGAATGAGATATTCTGGGAAAGAGCCAGTGTGGTTTATGAAGCCTGTCCTCATTATCACTCAGACACCAAAAAGGTATTCTACCCTGAGGGGAAACTTAAGTAAAACTAAATCTGAAAGGCATGGGAAAATCACTGCTAAAGCCTTTTCATTCTATTCCAGTTAAGAAGGGATTCTATTCAGGGCCTGGGTGCTGAACCTAAGCCTTTTCACTCAAGGCTAGAACTCTATCACTTGAGCCATAGTTCCACATCTGGCTTTTTGATAGTTTATTGGAGATAAAAAGTCTCCCAGACTTTCTTGCCCCGGCTAGGGACTTAGAACTGCTATCCCTAGAGCTCAGCGTCTTGAGTAGCAAGGATTATAGGTGCAAGCCAGTAGTACTTGGCCAGATAAAACAATCTTAAAAGACAACTTTGATGTGACACCATTTCTATAGCAGAAAAAAGCACTTATCAGAAAAGGTGATCCTTTCTAGAATCTGAGGCCAAAACTGGTTGAACCTGTCTTCCCTTTGGGGATATGTTTCCACTTTTAAACATGTTAATGGGTACAAAGCATTTGAAAATATCTCAGGCATCCTTTCTCAATCATCTTTGCCCTATTCTTGAATCTATCTGATGAACACACTTCAAAAACTCCCTATAAATGCATTAAAAAAATTAATGAAGCAACTGACTTCACAATTGCTCTTCAAAAATGTTTTCTAGATCTTTAAACAGTGTATACTGAGAAACTTATACATAATCAAGGGCCCAGAACAGTGCCAGCCCTTAAATATAACCATCTCTTCTAAGTTCACTGGAAGAGCAAGAGAGTTGCCGCCATCAGGTCTGGACAGCCTCCAAGTATTGTCCCAACAAACTTCCAAATCCCAGGGTCTGGCAAGACATACCACTCTCACTACAATCCTTTGAACAAAGTTCTGAGGGGTAAGGTTATCCCACAGGCCAATAGGCAGATTTCCAAATGGCCTCAGGGGAAGAGGAACTCTGCCAACAGAAATGGCAACATCCCAAGAGCTCAAACCTTAAGAGGTTCAGGGAAGGACTTTGATGTATATGCATATATGTATGGATAAAAAAAGAGTTAAGTCACTGAGACACAAAAAATGTACAAACACACTGAAACTAGAACCTAGAATGTTTCATTTCACCCTCAAATAATACTTTTTTTTTAAAACCACGTTTTCATAGTACAAATACAGAAGTGGTGGCTTAAAAAAAAAAAAAAAGAAGCAACTGGAGGTGGGATTATTTTGAGGCAGTGTCACTATGTGGGCCAGTCTATCTGGCCTGTAACCTGAGGTCCTTCTTCTTTGCACCTGTCTCCGAATACAGGGTTTATAGGTATGTCCAATAACATCAGGCTCCAGAAGTATTTTTTTTTCTTTTGTCAGTAGAGGGGTTTGAACTCAGGGCTTTATGCTTGCTAAATTGATGTGCTACCATTGGAACCCCATTCTCATCCTTCAGAAATATTCTTTAAAGATCAACTGCTAGCTAAAGCAAGTAAAAGCTTTTAAGGAACAGAAAAAATGCTTTACACAATACACAATCATTAAAATAATTTAATATATATTTCTTCTTTCAGAAAGACACAAAATTATTAAATATCAGCATTTAACAACAAAACCTTATTGATATAAATATCCACTGTTTTACAAACAGAATAACCTATATTCAAACACCTTCAACAAATGTTCTCTCACATTTTAAAGGGTTATAACCAAATGGAATGAGGATGGCTTAAACTAGGACAGTTATTTTTGTAATTTCATCTTTCACAGCTTACTGTGTATTTTTCACAGTCTTACTATTGATGAAATAAATAAAACTGATAGAATTTTCCAGCTCCTGTGCTCTTTTAACAGAACAGAAGATGATTACCCTGAATTTCTTGCAGGAATTGTTTGTTACAAAGAACCACTAGGGCTTTTATTCTTCTGTGACGGATTTCAGAATGCTTTCAACAATTCATCCCAAGTGCTGAGTAACCTGCCTTGTTCCTGGGATGGGCTAATTTAGAAACTGGAGCAAATTAATAACTGAGGTAGAACAATCTGTAATCACCCAGGGCTGAAGTGAAGAAAATGGAAGAAAATAAAAAAGGTTTACCTATCACCCAATATACACATGGTTCTCACAGCCTTAGAGAAAAGAGAGGGCAGGTAAAGAGAAGAGTAGAAGATTAGTCCTGAGAGAGCATATGAAGAACAGATAAAAATGTCTCGCAGTGGTGGGACTGCCCCCCAGCCAGGCTGTCACATTTTCACTGACATGCTTCTATCCATGTTTCTGAATTATGATACATTTCATCAGATAAATCACAAACATGCAATACATAGTATGGCACTAGGCATAAAGCACTCATGAAGTAAACATGATAAGGCACCATCGCGGTTTACAAAAGTGAATGCCTCAAAGTTAGATAGGTACCAAACGTGGAGAAATATCCTCACAAAAATTTATAGAAATCCTAAAAAGCTAAATGGGTGTAAAAGTCATTAATGATCTTAACCAATGTTTTGAGAACTTTAGTGTGACTGAAGAGCAGATATAATAATAAGAGATAAGTAATTGTTTAAATTACAGAGTTCTATACATCAGTGTCAGGGTTCTAAAATTGCTCTGGTAAAACCTAGCAGTTCTAGGTGCTTTTTTTTTAGATGCTACAGAAGACGGAAGCGCAGTTCACAATCACACACAGTGTGCAAATGTTTAGATGCAGTGAGGATACCAAACAAGATGTTACAAAGAGATTGATTTTAAAAAAAAAAAACACTATAATAAATGCCTTGAGTTTATGCAATTTTTTTTGCTTTGAGAAATGAAAATTTTTATTTTCTCAAAAATCAAGACGTTTTGATTTTCAAATAGAAATGCTGCTCTAAATAATGTGAGCCTTGGTACAACCAATTTCCAGATCCACTGCCCACTCTCCTGTGGCTCAAGGGGTACAGTGCCAGCCTGGAGCAAAATAGCTAAGGGATAGTGCCCAGGCCCTGAGTTTGAGCCCCAGTATTGGCACAAACACAAAAATGTTCACAACTACAATATACTGTAACATGTTTTCTCTTGTCTAGGAAAGATAAAAGAGCTTACATAGTATAAAGCCAAAACTTTGTTTAAGGGAATAATCCATTTTTTATGTTATTTTCCCCAAAACATATAAAGGCGATCCAGACCACAGTTTATAAAGACAGATCATTAACAAAGTCAGGATTCAGAACAGATACAACTGTGAAAGACATGAAGTATGGACTTTAATTTTTAAAAATTATTACTTATATATCATACTAATAACTCAATGGTTACTTAAAATGTGACCATAAAGTAAGAGTTTAAAACCATTTTCCTAGGTTCTACTTAGAGAATCCAAGTAGTACATTCTTGTTGTTGATGGACACTAACTCCTACCCTGCTCCCTCCAAGTTTTATAATCCAAATCTTTGTTGTACTTCATCTGCAATCATTTCTGAAATTGCCAGGGAAGAAGTGGCGGCAGGGGAAGGTGCATTTCTCACATGAAGAATTCGATTTCCAATAGCCCCAACCCCTCCATCAAATACAAAATCTTCTACCAAACTTCCATCTCTGTCCATGGCTTGGGCTCTGACTCCAGCTGGACCTCTGGGAAAGAAAAAAATTGGGTCAACCTACTCAGAATACTTTACAAATTAGTGGTTTTCAAAGCATTCTTAAAGCAATGAAGTCTTCATTCTTCCAATGACCTTAGATGGTAGCCTGGAAAAACTATACCCCTAACCAGAGCATCATGTCTATCACATAACAGTGGCATACATGCTCATAAAATAAGCATATATATATGCATATATATATATATGCATATATATATAGTTACAACTAAACACCTGTTTACCAAAACTAGCAGTTAAAACAGATTTTCTTTTCTTTTTTTTTGCCAGTTATGGGGCTTGAACTCTGGACCTGGGTGCTGTCTCTCAGCCCTTCAGTTCAAGGCAAGCATTCTAACTCTTGATCCACAGTGCCACTTCCAGCTTTTTCTGTTCATATGGTGCTGAGCAATCAAACCCAGGGCCTCATACATGCAAAGCAAGTGTTCTACCACTGAGCCAGCTTCCCAGCCCTCATGTCATTCTTTATTCAGCTTTTTTTTTTGGTGCTAGTTCTGGCTTGAACTCAGGGCCTGGGCACTGTCCCTGAGCTTCTTTTGCTCAAGGCTGGTGCTCTACCACTTGAGCCACAGCACCACTTCCGGGTTTTTCTGTGTATGTGGTATTGAGGAATCGAACTCAGGCTTCATGCATGCTAGGCAAGCACTCTACCACTGAGACACATTCCCAGCCTTCAACTTATTTTTGTATTGTGAGTGGCTAATTAAAATTTATGGAGAAGCTAGGTGCTAATGACTTATGCCTGTCATCTAGCTACAGGAGGCTGAAATCTGGAGGATCTCAATTCAAAGCCATCTCAGGCAGTAAAGTCTGTTAGATTCCATCTCCAGAAAAACAAAAGCAGAGCTGGAGACATGGATCAAGTATCAGAGCACCAGGTATAACCAAGAAAACTATGTGAGAGCATGAGACCCTGAGTACAAGCCCAATACTGCTACGAAAATCATGGAGAAAAATACTAAAATTTACTCAACTCTATAATATTTTTAACAGCTTAACTTCAATTAAAGAGATAAGAAAAACCAAAGTGAATTAATTTAGCAGCATGGTAAACAGTGAGAAACTTTACTACCTAAAGATTTTTCAATCCATTGAGTTCACAAATTAGGTTTCTGTTGTTTTTCTACAAAGTTAAAATTGGTTCATAACATATGAATTATGATTCTAAAATTCCCTCCTTTGAAACTTTTCAAGGAAACCCAGTGTGAAAAAGTCTATCTTCTATGTATCATCAACACCGACTGTACAAATCAGCAACAATGTGAAACACTTCTTACTGATTCAGGTACAAGTCAAGATAAGTACTTGAGGAAGACACAAAGAACAAAATGAACACAGCTGTCCTCTAGACCTCTGCCTGGCTGGGGAGATAATGATAAGAATGGCTATTATTTAATGTGTACTAGGAGCCATCTCATGTATCCTCATAACAACTCTTTAGAAGATGATGCAGTTTATTTTTAGCAGTAAAGAAACAGATTAATTCTTTTGCCAGAAGTCCTATAGCTATACTGTTCATTTTTTAGAGTGGTAAGAATTAGAAAAATACAGACTGTAAATACAACACAGGGGCCCATGAGCTGCACTGGACACTGATGAAAATGAACTAAGCAACTCAAGGGCAGCAATGGGAGCGGGGGATGAGAGAGAAAGAGGGAACAGTTTACACTAAGCAAAAGGAAAGAAATGTACATATCACCCAATTTGCAAGAAATAGTTGTATGGTCAAAGCTTATAGAATTCACAAAATTTATAGACCATGATAATGATAATTTGCCTTGTGAAGGTTAAAACGTGTTTGTGACTTTAAGTATCACTATCCCACAAATATTGTGAAATTTTTAAAAATTATGCAATCACTTAATCTCAATAAAAATTATTTAAAGAATAAATAAAGACTGTATACAAAGTTAAGTAATCTACCCTACATAATCCTGAAGGGCATGTGACTAGGAGATTTTTTTTTTTTTGTCTCTGGGCCTGGGAGCTGTCCCTGAGCTCTTCAGCTCAAGTCAAGTGCTCTACTACTTGAGCCACAGCATCATTTCTGGTTTTCTAGTAGTTAATGAGATAAGAGTCTCACGGACTTTGTTCTGAGCTGGCTTTGAACCTCCATCCTCAGATCTCAGCCTCCTGAGTAGGATTACAAGTGTGAGCCACTAGCACCTGGAGGCTAGGAGATTCTTAAGCTAGAATTTCCAAGTAAGAATCTGATATATCACTTAGAGCACAAAAAGAATGACACCAAAGAATGCCATTTCTTAGGACAGGATGTATACATGCTGGCCAGTGTGCAGTCCAATCTGCACCTTCTTGTTGGTTTATCTTAACTCATCAAAGCAGCTTCCTTCTTTCTTAGAAAAAGCTGCAGCACTGTTCAGAATTAGCTGTTTCTGAGTTTTCTAGGCCCTGTCCTTGTGTTTGGTAGAGTAATGGTTTTTCTGAAGATCTTCCTTTAGTTAAATCTGACATGAGGCTGGGCACTCAGGAGGCTGAGATCGAGTATCCAGTCTCAAAGCCAGCCCGGTCAGGAAAGCCCATGAGACTTTTATCTCCAATTAACCACCAGAAAGCTAGGAAATGGAACTGTGGCTCACATGGCAGAATATCAGCCTCGAGGGGTACCAGCTAAGCCCGAAGTTCAGGACTCAGTACATAAACACATATACATGCACACACAATAAAGGTAAAGGGCAAAGACAGTGTCTTCTAGAACACCCTACCTTACCTCCATGTCTAGACTGGTGTATTACATATAGGGAGCATTCAATAAGGGTAGAATTTTCGTGTGTGTGCCAGTTCTGGGGCTTGAACTCAGGACCTGAGCACTGTCCTTAAGCTTAATTTTCCCAAGCTAGTGCTTTACCACTTGATCCACAACTCCACTTCCAGCTTTTTGGTAGTTAATTGGAGATAAGCATCTCATGGAATATGCTGTCAGGGATACTGTCTTTGAACTGTGATCCTCAGATCTCACCTCCTGAGAAGCTAGCATTGCAGGGGTAAGCCACCAGTGCCCAGCTCAGGCTCCTTTTTTGCTACTGATAATTTCCTGCATTAATAGCTACAATCGAGAGAAGACACAAGTGGAATTGATGAGTATATCTAGCTAGCATCCCTGTTTATTTTGGTAGTATTATGATTTGAACTCAGGCTCTTGTGCTCAGCTACTTGAGCCACACTCCCAGCCCATTTTATTTTAGTTATTTTTATGTGGCAGTACTGGGGTTTTGAAATCAGCATTTACCTAGAAAAATGCCAGGCAAGTGCTCTACCACTTGAACTAGATGTCTTTTTTTTTTCTTTATTTTTTAGATATACCTCACTTTTTGCTTGCAGTCAGCTTCACAGCACAATTCTCCTACCTATGGCCTCCTACAGACAGATACATTCCACAATACCTAGCTTTTTTGTTATTGTTCAGATGAGGTTTACTAGTTTTTTGTCCAGACTGGCCTCAAATCTCAATCCTCCAAATCTTCACATCCCAAGTAGCTGGGATTACAGAGCCAGCTTGTCTAAACTGCTTTAGTTAATTTTTGATAGGGCTTCTTATACCAGCCTTTGACTATGATCCTCCTATCTATGATATCCTGCATACCTGGATTATAGGCATGAACCATTATGGCTGGTTTGTTAAGATGGATGTCTTACTAACTTTTCATGAGCTGGATTTTATGATTCTTCTGATCTTAATCTCCCAAGTAGCTGGAATTACAGGCGTGTGCCATTATGCCTAGCAGCACCTTGGTCTAACAAGGAAATCAACTGTAACTGAGATCAACCTCACCGCAAATGCACCTGCCTACAGTGCTTTGTGCCCTTTTCTACTTGAGCCTAATGAAGCTAGTAAGTGAAATTCACACCCTTACACCCAGAGACAGCAATCACTAATGCTCATAAATCCCCAAATCCACCTTCATCTTATGAAACCCACTGGTCTAATAGGTTTTCCACAGTCCTCTATGAAAGTGTGGTAACTGAATATGGGTAGTGGACCTACTTCAACTGCTTCTACACAGAATGTACTATGATCATCTAGTATGTTTTCCAAGGAGCATTAATAGCAGTAATAGAAAGCGGATTTGACTAGATAGAAAATGTAACAAGTTTGCTAAAGCAAACAACTAGGCTAGATGTATTAGTGAGCACAAGAAAATAAAGCCTAGATATTTTTATCCCTTTCATTTTAAGAGGTAAATAGAAGGAGAAAGGAGATAAGAGTATAACATTAGCTAGGTTTAATAGTACCCAGGACTCTAAGAGGCAAGTCTTAGAGTGATACATTAGAGTCAGATTTAGACCAGGATGATCCCCAAAGGGAGACAGCTGACATGATTACTGCTCTTTCCAGATACACAGTCCAGCCCACTGACACTTTATACCAGGCTACTTCAGCAGCTGTTACAGAGGAGCAGACAGTAGCGCTCTGGAGAGCTGTGGAGGGATGTACTGTAAATGTAGTATGAGAACCTTTAAGTACACTGCTGATTAGGCCTAACAAATGGCTTGGCAGGGAAGAAGGTTAAAACTAAAAATATCAAAGAGAAAAAAGTACTATGCTTGGATGGTATTTAAGATACTCTACAAATCAAGTCTAAAAAGTCTTTTATTCTAAAAAAACTTTCTTTTCCCTCCCCTTGCCCTACGCTCCTGTATCAAGGACTTAGATTACCAGTACATTGCTTCCCACTTCTGTCCACCAAGTAGAGTCCCTAAGAGAGGGAGGGCCTCAGAAAAGATAAGAAGCAGAGAAGAAAGGTAAGATCAAAATATAAAATTTAATATATTCATTACCTAGCTAGTTAACATGGTTATCAATTGTGTGTGTGTGTGTGTGTGTGTGAGAGAGAGAGAGAGAGAGAGAGACAGAGACAGAGAACTGGTCCCAGGACTTGAACTCAAGGCCTGGGTGCTGTTCCTTGAGCTTTTTTGCTCAAGGCTAGTGTTCTACCACTTGAGCCACAGCTCCACATCTGGCTTTTTAGAAATTAACTGGAGATAAAAGTTTCACAGACTGGGCTGGGACGATAGCTCAGTGGTAGAGCACTTGCCTTGCATGCCTGAGGCCTTGGGTTCAATTGATTCCTCAGCACCACATAAGCAAAAAGAAAAAAGCCGGAAGTGGCGCTGTGGCTCTCCTGGGTAGCTAGGATTACAGGCTTTAGTCACTAGCTCTTTGCTATGATTTCATACAGAACTAAAGCCAAAAGGCTTTGGAAGATAAATTTTTTAAAGTTCAGGCATGAAATTTATCAGCCAGATGTGGTGGTACCTGTCCATAATGCCAATATTCAGGAAGCAGTTAAACCTAGTTCAACTGAGGTCAGGACTGTTTTTATAATCCTTATGACAGTTTCTTACCTTTGGATATCATGGATAGTAATTTCAGGAATAAACTTTTGAAGGTTCTTCACTGTTACAGCAAGAAAGCAGGCTTTATACATTTCATTAACTGAATAGGAGAAATTCTGGAACACCAGTTTAATCAAGCCACTGAAAGTAAACAAAAAAACCCATTATGAGAAAATAATTCCTTATTACTATAAAATATATCTATCAGACTTTTAGTAACATCACAGAAATCTATGGAAAATCCCTATATATTCAAAGGAAAGCTTTTAGCCAATATGAACAAACATCATCAACTGAAGAGGTAAATGCCTTCCAACTTCAAATTCCCAAAGAATGTTTGTTCCAAGCTGCCAATACCAAGACTTTCTAATGCAAGTGGCTCAGAACACACCTAAAAGACTTTAGTAGTTCTATCAGTGGCCTAAGCAAGGGAGATACCTAACTCAATCACAGATCAAAGCCAGCCTGGACAGGAAAGTCCATGAGACTCTTATCTCCATCTAACAACCAGAAAACCAGAAGTGGCGCTGTAGCTAAAGTGGTAGAGCTCAGGCACAGCACCAGGCCCAGAATTCAAGCCCCAGAGCCCACAAAAATAAATAAAAAAGCTGGGCACCGGTGGCTCACACCTATAATCCTAGCTATTCAGGAGGTTGAAATCTGAGGATGGCAGTTCAAAGCCAGGCCAGGCAGGAAAGACCATGAGACTCTTATCTCCAAGAAACCACTAGAAAACCGGAAGTGGTGCTGTGGCTCGAGCGGTAGAGTGCTCGCCTTGAGCTGAAGAGCTGAGGGACAGCGCCCAGGCCCAGAGGTCAAGCCCCACAACTGACCAAAAAATAAATAAATAAAAATAATAATAAAATAAGGGCATCTTAGGTCAACACAAATAGTACTGTTAGTTTTTGTGGGTTTTTTTTTGGGTCCAGTCGTGGGGTCTGAACTCTTGGCCTGGGCACTGTCCCTCAGCTCTTCAGCTCAAGGCTAGCACTCTACCACTTGAGCCACAGCACCACTTCCTGATTTTTCTTTTGGCTTATGTGGTGCTGAGGAATAGAACCTAGGGCCTCATGCATGCAAGGCAAGCGCTCTACCACTGAGCCACCTTCCCAGCCCTAGTACTGTTAGTTTTCAGCAAAAAGGACCACCTAGGTCATTAGCTATTTGCTAGTGGTTTATAAGATAATTGCAAGTAGTGTAAAATTACTTTATCAAAGTAAGCTATTTACTTATTTTAAAAAATCTTTTTATTTATTTGGATTGCCAGATGTATGAATGGCTCTTGGTCTTATCTTCTCCTGCTTTTCTTTGGGGGGGGGGGGGCAGGGGAAGGGGTTGCACTGGAGCTTACATTCAGAGCCTTGAGCTTGGCAAATGTCCTACCATCTGAGCCACACTTCTAGTCTATACACTTCTTTTTAACAAAACATCACTTTGGCTCATCAAAATTTTCTTGAGGCAGTTAAAACACTGTTTGGAAATTGGGTGCTGGTGGCTACTCAGGAGGCTAAAATCTGAGGATGCTGGTTTGAAGCCAGCCTAGGCAGAAAAATCCAAGAGACTCTAACCACCATGAGAAAAAAATGCCAGAAGCAGAACTGTGGTATAAGTGGTACACGTGAAAGATGGTCAGCTGGTGTAAAAAAGCCAAGTGAGAGAGGAAGTCCTGAGTTCAAGGCCCGAAACCAGCACGCACGCGCGCACACACACACACACAAGACATTAAGCTTGAGGCTAGGTGTGGGCTCAGTGGGAAAAAAGTATGCATGCTTAGTAGGCTGGGTTCAACTCTAGTACAAAAAACTGAAGCAAGAACTTTGCTCTTCCATGAAGATTGTAACTTAGATCAATAAAATCAATATACCAATTTAACAGAATTTATTGAATTGTACTTAAAAAATAAAAAATTCTTCACATCAAATATATAAACACACAAAAAAAATCCTTTTTAACAGTTACCTGTTCATAATTATTTCCATGAAATCTTTGGCACTGAAGTCAAAGAATCTATAACCTTCCCGTTTAAAGGCAAGCACTGCATTAGGCCCTAGCCAAATGCTGCCATCCATCCTTGGTGTGAAGTGAATTCCCAGGAAAGGAAACCGGCTATCCGGGACCTATACAGATTTAACAGAGCAAAGAACATTCCATTTATCACAAACAAGAAGGTCCATTGGTAATATGAAACACTTTCTTCCATGTATTTATTGTGCTTGTGCGCTAGACTCAGACATACCTTTCTATTAACATGCTTCTGCTTAGAAATGCCACTCAGGAAACACTAGTGCTACGGACCCTAACACACACTCACTCATCTATTCATATTTCTGGGTAAAGGAGAAAGGATGAACTATCCCACTGTAGATTAGCACCTGAAGTGACACACAAGGGATATATGACAGGCAAGTAAGGTCAGGATTACCAAAATAAAAAAGCATACATATATAGCCAAGACTTTTGTAAAGGGGGAATGTATGAGGTGACACAGATGAATTTGGTGTTTTAGTAAAGTCAAAAACATCAATTTAGCTGGGCACCAGTGCCTAACGCCTATTGTTCTAGCTACTAAGGAGGATGGGATCTGAGAATCTCAGTTCGAAGCCAGCCTAGGTGGACAAATCCAATTAACCAACAAAAGCCAAAAGTGGAGGCTTTGAGTGAGGCTTTTGAGTTGGTGCTCAGGTGATGAGCACCAACATTGAACGAAAAAGCTGGGCAAGAGCATGAAGCCCTGAATTCAAGCCCCATTATTGGGCTTTGTGTGTGTGTATGCACACATGCACAGGCACTCACACACATACATCCAGACATCACACACACTGCAAAAAAAAAAAAAAAGCCAAACAGCTGAGTATTAACTGAACCAAGACCGGTCGTGGGGCCTGAACTCTGGGCCTGGGCGCTGTCCCTCAACTCTTCAGCTCAAGGCTAGCGCTCTACCACTTGAGCCTCAGCGCCACTTCCAGCTTTTTTCTTTTTTCTTATGTGATGCTGAGGAATCAATTGAACCCAGGGCCTCAGGCATGCAAGGCAAGCGCTCTACCACTGAGCTACCTTCCCAGCCCCCAATTTTTTTTTTGTAATAAGTAATTTATTAGAAAAGCAAGAGATGGGCAACTTAGTTGAGAGTGAACAACTTGATTAGGAACAGTGTACCTCAAGCCATGATGCAGGTGGCTAGGTAAGAGCCAAAACACCTGGTTCAACATACAGTATTTTGGGGCTGGGAAGGTGGCTCAGTGGCAGTGCTTGCTTTTCATGCATGAGGCCCTCAGCACCACATAAACAGAAAAGGCTGGAAGTGGTGCTGTGGCTCAAGTGGTAGAACGCTAGCCTTGAGCTGAAGAGCTGAGGAACAGCTCCCAGGCCCAGAGTTCAAGCCCCATGACTGACAAAAAACCCAAAAAGACCCAAAAAAACCATCAAACATACACTATTTTAAGGGATTTACTCATTTCCAGGGTAGATCTAGACAGGAGGAGGAACTCTTACATAAAATTCTTGTCTTTTACTCCTGGAACCACACAGTAGCCACATCTCTTTTCTGTATCTCCAGACAGTGAACTGAGAAAAGGGGCTGGGTATCATATGATATTTCCCAAAAGGAAACCTCTCTTATGAGTATGGAGGAAGAAGATGGATCTTCTCCACAGTACTTACTTCCCATGGCATACTCTTGCCTTTTGGAGTGGTATCTGTGGCAATTACAACTTAATGGCTAGATATTAGAATAAAGAATTAAATTTAGAGACAACTATCATAGCAACAGGTAAAATGTCTGCAGCAACAGTCCTTCAAACTCTCTATTCTGATGCCAGTAAAGTTTCTGTTTTCATTTCCTTTCCATTTAAGCCAGCTTGAGTAGAGTGAAAGGGAAGACACATCATTACCTACCGGATAAATATTTCCTTTTACAAGATAGCTTTTTTCTGGCTTCAAAAGCAGGTAATCTCCCCGGAATGGAACAATAGTAGGATGAGGACTGCATCCACTCAACTCTGAAATGCGATCGGAGTAAAGTCCTGCACATGTCACCATGTACTGACACCGAATTTCCTCTCCCTAAGCAAAGGAAGAGCATGATTAGCAGTACTAATGTAGTAGTACTAGTATTAATACTACACTAGTAGTACTAGTGTAGAAGAAGCTAGAAAAAGTCATGCACAATAGTAACACAAAAGATAGCTTCATGTGGTATCACACTAATTATTTAGCCAGTAAAACAAGCTCCAAAGAAAAGATACATGAATTGGCCCCTCTATTCCTCAGAGAGTGAAGACAACATAAATTCAGTCGGGTGCTGGTGGCTCACACCTATAAGTTACTCAGTCTATACATTCCTCCAGCTCCTTCTAAATATACAGGACTTAATACTGATAAACCATAGTAAAATATGTTCCCTCAGTTATTGTTCATATGAATACAAATTATGCCCTCAATACCTCATGTCTAAGTGGTCAAAATCTGTAGTTCAAACTGAAAATAAGAAGTAGGTTTTTCTCAGTCGAAAAGCTCATATGGAACAACAAAAGACCTAGAATAGCCAAAGCAATTCTAGGCAAAAGAAACAATGCAGGAGGGATCAAGATACCAGACTTCAAGCCCTACTATAGAGCCATAATAACAAAGACATCTTGGTACTGGCACAAAAAGAGACCCGAAGACCAATGGAACAGACCAGAGGACCCAGAAATAAAACTGCATATGTACAATCAGATGATATTTGACAAAGGAGCCAAAGACACACAGTGGAAGAATCATAGCCTCTTCAGCTACTGGTGCTGAGAAAACTGGGTGGCCACATGCAGAAAACTAAAAGTGGTCCTAGCCTGTCACCATGTACTAACATCAACTCAAAATGGACTAAAGACCTTAACATCAAACCTGAAACTCTGAAACTACTGCAGGACAGAATAGGAGAGACACTTGAACTTATAGGCACAGGCAAGAACTTCCTGAACAGAGTCCCAGGGTCACAACAATTTGGAGACTCGATAAGTGGGACTACCTTAAAATAAAAGGTTTCTGCACAAAGAAATAGCAACCAAAGTAGAAAGACAACCAACCAACTGGGAAAAAGTATTTACCAGCAATATATTAGACAAAGACCTAATACCCATTATGTACAGGGAACTCAAGAAATGAATCCCTTCCAAATCTAATAAACCAATCATTAAATGGGCAAAAGAACTAAAGACAGACTTCTCAGAAGAGATAAAAATGGCAAAGAAACATGAGGAAATGTTCATCATCCCTGGTTGTAAAGGAAATGCAAATAAAAACAACCCTGAGATACCATCTTACCCAGTCAGAATGGCCCACATCCTAAAGTTAGCCAATGACAAATGCTGGAGGGGATGCAGAGAAAAAAGAACCCCACTGAATTGCTGGTGGGAATGTATGCTAATACAATCACTTTGGAAAACAGTCTGGAGGTACCTCAGAAAGCTAAATATAGACCTTCCCTATAACCCAGCCATACCACTCCTAGGCATCTACCCTGAACAACAGGAACCAGTATACAAAGACACATGCATCTCCATGTTTATTGCAGCACTGTTCACAATAACCAAGATTTGGAAACAACCTAGATGCCCTATTACTGATAATCACAGGGAAATGGATGGAACTCTTAGAGCAGATTATTTTGAGCAAAGTAAGCCAAGAACAAAGAGACAAATGGCACATGGTCTCTCTGATATGTGGATGCTAAAGCCAAAATACAAGAAGACAAAGTAACAGGACTCAAGAAAAGAAAAAAAGTGAGAGAAGGGATGGGTGACAATGTTGTCAGACACTTTGTATTCATATACTGTTTTGTAGAATGGGAACTTTTTTTGTTGTTGTTGGTAGTGGGGCTTGACTCTGGGCTTGGGCGCTATCTCTCAGCGCTTCAGCTCAAGGCAAGCGCTCTACTACTTGAGCCACAGCGCCACTTCTGGTTTTCTAGTGGTTTACTGAAGACAGAGTCTCACAGACTTTCATTGCCCGGGCTGGCTTTGAACCCTGATCCTCAGATCTCAGTCTCCTGAGTAGCTAGGATTACAGGCGTGAGCCACCGGAGAATGAGAACTTCTTTATACAACTACTTAAAGATAATAAAAAAGAAAGAAAGAAAGAAGAAAGACAGACAGACAGAGAGACAGACAGACAGAGAAAGAAAGAAAGAAAGAAAGAGAGAGAGAGAGAGAAAGAAAGAAAGAAAGAAAGAAAGAAAGAAAGAAAGAAAGAAAGAAAGAAAGAAAGAAAGAAAGAAAGAAAGAAAGAAAGAAAAGAAAGAAGAAAGAAAGAGAAAATGAGCTGGGTTTTTCTTAAGATCTCAGTTTAGTTAAAACTGACATAAAATGTCTAAGCTACCTGATACTTTATGTTTCCCTTTCAGCACTTAATTCAATTTTAGGAGTTTCTTTGCAGGGCTATAATAAACTCCTTCCCCTGCAACTCAGTTTCATGAAATCTAATAATTTGAAATATCAGATAAGATAAATATGGTCCTAAGGGCCAGGCTAGTTGTGGCACTACTTGCCTGTAACTCCAGAATTTAGTAGGCTAGGGCAGGATCATGATTTTTTTTTTTCTTTTGGTCAGAGACTGGGACTCAAATTTGTGCTCATTGGCTAGCATTCTTAGAATCGAACCACACACCCAACCCCAAGAAATTGTTTGAGTAATTTAATAGTCTTCATTGTAAGGAGAGCATGGAGTAAAACTCTTATCTCAAAAATAAAAAATAAACATAGATCTATGAAGCACATAGGGATACCAAGTTGACAAGGGGAAGTCAGCAGGGGTTTGAACTGTGTTGGTTTGGTTAAGCTGGGGACTATGCTTAACAGAATGCTCTCCTTTGAATGTTTCCAATTAAAGTTGATCCAAACTGGAACTGCCTATGGCTTGGCAGGTAAAAGTAAAGCAGGAGTCTTTTTTCTGAAGATATCCTACTCCAATGCGGACTGCCCACAGACATCTACTGACACAGAAGCAAGAGCTCCCCACAGATCACTGCACCAACTCTCTAGAGCTCACAACTGTGAGAGCTCACAACTGTCTCAGGCCTAATTCCTACAGGAAATCCTGTAACATTCATGAGTGACTGTGCTGTCCTCTCTGATCCTCTGATTCCAATGGAAGGAATACTCTATCCCATTCAATGGATCTTGTTTTAGACTATGTGAAGATAAAGAAAAGCAGTCCACTCCCCTCTGCGCAGCCTCCAAATCTCTCCCAAGGTTTTCAAATGAGTAGAGTCATTAAGTGAATATATATCTGTGGCAGAGTGATAAAGTACATATTAGTTTTTACTTAAAATTAAGCATCCCAGATATATGATGGTTACTCACATCTATTTTTCTAGCTACTCAGGAGGCTGAGATTTAAGGACTGAGGTTTGAAGCCAGCCCAGTCAGAAAAAAAACCTAGAGACTCTTGTCTCTAACTAATTAGCAAAAAATGAAATGTGTGGAAAAGTGACGGAATACCAGCCATGAGCTGAGTAAGGCTCTGAATTCAAGTCAAGTCCCAGTTACCATTCCCCTCCCTGCAATATAAAGCCTTCTAGTGTCTTACAAATTCTTTTCTTTAGCATAGTTACATGATGATGACATTCCAAGTTAAAACTTTCCTTACAATAAAGACTATTAAATTACTCAAAGAATTTCTTGGGGTTGGGCGTGTGGCTCAGTTCTAAGAATGCTAGCCAATGAGCAAAAGCATCATTATTGAGTTTGAGTCCCAGTCATAGATGCCACCCCCCCCCCCGCTCCTTCCCCCCCCCCAAAAAAAGAATTTCTTGAGGTGAGCTGAGTGTAATGGCACACACCTATAATCAAACACTCAAGAATCTTGAGGCAGGATAATCCTAAGATAGATGTCTGGGCTACATGTCACAAACAAACTTTCTCAGAGTTACTTTCACATTAGAAAATTTTCATTCAGTGATTTAAAATACAGCACTGTGGGTTAATTCAACATTTTAAGAAAGGGAAGGGGATGAAAATAGATAACAACTTTTACTTAGGAAGCTTACCTTAGTATTCTTTATAACAATTGGATATTGCAAATCTGGAGGGAAAAAAAAAGCAATGAAAGGTTTTTTTAAAAAGCAAAACAAGCTGGTGGCTCACGCCTGTAATCCTAGCTACTCAGGAGGCTGAGATCTGAGGACTGCGGTTCAAAGCCAGCCCGGGCAGGAGAGACCGCAGGAGAGACCGTGAGACTCCTATCTCCAATAAACCACCAGAAAACCGGAAGTGGCGCTGTAGCTCAAGTGGTAGAGCGCTCGCCTTGAGCTGAAGAGCTGAGGGACAGCGCCCAGGCCCAGAGTTCAAACCCCACGACCAACAAAAAAAAAAAAAAAAGCAAAACAAGACTAAAATTTCTTGAAATATACTAATAACAAATTTGATTAATTGACATTCTTCTTTCATAATAGCACCCTGCTTTTCATTCTGAATTTCTTTTTAACCAAGTAACAGAAATAAAGTAGCTCATTAAAATCAGTACATTCAAGAGATAAGGATGACCTACCTTCTTTACTTTCTGAAGAACTTTCTTTAGCCATTCCAATTCTTTCTACTTCAAAATTGGTCAAGACTGAGCCGCCTGCTTCTTGGAAATCCTGGGCAAATGACAAAGCTACCTGCCGATAGTCCACAATGCCAGTATAGGGACAATCAATAGCCATTAGACCCTGGAAGAGCATTATGAAAAAGTCAAAATACAATGAAGAACAATGAGGTTCAATCAAAATTTTATTTTTGGCTGAATTCATTACTTGTTTGTTTTCATAGGTAACATGCGCTGTCCTTGCCTGTCAAAAATCATAAGTCTTAAGTAACTAAATTTGACAATGAGCACATTTGTAATGTGTTGAACAGTGAAGAGAAATTGTAAATAAGAACATTTCTATAATCAGGAACCATGTTCCCTACTTAGAGGAGTTAAGTCTGCCAGGCCCTTCCAGCTGCTACCATGAGTTTTCCAGATTTACTCAGCTCCCACCACTGTTTCTGATTCTGAACTGATTCTCATCTGATTGCAAGGTGAGTATTACAAGCACCTGGCCACAGAACTGTTTTTTTTTTTTTTTGCCAGTCCTGGTGCATCTAACTCTGGGCCTGAGTGCTGTCCCTGACCTCTGTTTTGCTCTACCACTTGAGCCACAGTGCTACTTCTGGCTTTTTCTGTGGTTAATGGGATAAGTGTCTCAGGGACTTTACCTTAACTGGCTTTGAATTGGGATCCTCAGATCTCAGCCTCCTGAGTAGCTAGTACTACAAGTGTGAATCACTGGCACCCGGATACAAAACTTTACCTAGCATAAAACTGTAACAAGTATGATGGAAGGATACAAATATGTTCTGATTTTGTCCTGAATCAATAGTTTTTTTTAATCCCAAATATCCTTATTTACATTGAATTCCTATTCTGCACAGTGAGTGACACAGTCACTCAAATATTTATTGATTAAGTAAACTTTGAGAGCTGTCTTTCAATATACTATATCATTACCCACCAGACTCCCACCTCACATTGATATATACACAATATATGATGTATATACGAACACATTTGGTATATGCACACACACTTTTTTTTTCTAGGTGGCTAGAAAAAAAACAGTACAGGTACAAGATATGCAGTAAAACTGGGAGTAGTATACAATTAGGAAACAGAAATGAATGTGTGCTTGACTAATAATATTAAAAGGCAGCTGGAGTCCCAGTAGCAGGGAGAATTCGCCTAGATACACAAAGCTGTCAAGTTACCTTCCGCCTGTAATCTTAGCTACTCAGGAGGCCAAGGCAGGAGGATGGCAAGTTGAAGACCAGCCCATGCAAAAGTTAGTGAGACCCCATTTTAGAAACAAAACACCATGACAAAAAGACTGGGTATGACTCAAAAGATGAGTTCTTTCCTAACACATAGAAGGCCCTGGGTCCAACCCTCAATAGTGAGAAAAAAAATTATTCTTCCACATAAAACAGGTTAAAAAGGCAAAACTCAGAAGTTTATGGCCAGATGCTGGTGGTTCACACCTGTAATCTTAGCTACTCAGGAGGTTGAGATCTGAGGATCTCATTTCAAAGCCAGCCCAGGCAGGAAAGTCTGTGAGACTCTCATCACAAACTACTCAGAAAAAGCCAAAGTGGCTCTGCGGCTCAAGTTGTAGAGCACTAGCCTTGAGCACAAAGAGACTCCATGACAACACCTAGGACCTAAGTTCTGTGTATGTGTGTGTGTGTGTGTGTTTGAAAAAAAGCTATTGATCCTCTTCCTGATGGTAGTTAGTCTTCTTAAAGTTCTTCAGCATCAACTTTATTAACTTCATCTTTCTAGAAAGCCTATGAGAATCACACGTGATCCAGATCCTGTAACACTGGAATTTCCCCCAACATTCCTGGTAGTGGTGTTAAGATGGGAGAAAAGAAGAAGAACTTGCTCTTATGAACAACTGGTCCATATTTTCCACTATGTGTTACCACCTAGTAATGATTATAGTTTGGAACTATATAAAGTCATATCACTTCTGCAGAGGCCACAGGGAAGCAGATTCATCCATCTCTTTTATAAAGTACTCATTCATTTTCAAGTAGGGGTTCATTTCTGGGAAGGCTTTCTTAAATAAACCCTTAGGTTAAGCTAGAAGCACTTCCTCCTCCCTGGTATAAACCAGAGTACAGGCTCTGTTAGAACACTTATCACCGTGCTGTGCTAAAACTGTTTTCTGCTACATAGTTCCTTCAGGCTGACAGCCATGTTTTGTATTATCTGCAGAACTTAATAATGTTTTGCACATAGTAATTAAGAAAATTTTGGTAAAATTCAATAACCCATGCTGTGAACAGTAAGGATAGTCACCATGAAGAGAAATGTCTGAGTAGAGGGCTTGAGGGGAATGCCAAGAAGGTGGAAATGTTCTGATTTTAATCTGGTACTAGTTACACTTTGTAAAAATTCATTAAGGCGCTGGGAAGGTGGCTCAGTGGTAGAGCCCATGCCTTGCATGCCTGAGGCCCTGGTTCGATTCCTCAGCACCACATAAGCAAAAACAAAAAAAAAAGCCGGAAGTGGCACTGTGGCTCAAGTGGTAGAGTGCTAGCCTTGAGCTGAAGAGCTGAGGGACAGCGCCCAGGCCCAGAGTTCAGGCCCCATGACCGGACCCCAAAAAATAAAAAAATAAAAACTCATTAAGCTGAAAATTTAGGGTTTGTTGTGCACTATAATTCAAGAACTTACGATAATAGTAAAGGCAGAAAGATGAAGAGGAGCATTAACATAAAAAAATGTATGCTTAAAGTCTTAGCTCTGGCAGGATGAAGCACAAGTGGGCTCATAGCTTCCTTGTAGTCAATGCAAATAGGACAATATAGTCAGATAAATGATCCAGTGCCCATACAATCAAAACAAGCCCACTGTACTCAGAAAGATCAAAACAATACTGAGAACTAAGATCTAAAATTTCTCCTTAAGATTCTCAGAGAATGGCGTTGTGTAATATAGTGAACAATGTATTTTCTCAACCACATCCCTATAGTAGAGACCACAATGAATGTCACAATGGTCTTCTCTGTGAGCTGATACCATAAAACCAAAGCACTACACAAAGGAAGTAACTATGGTCAAGGAGTAACACAGGGCAGGCAATGCAATTTAAGGGTGCTACACTGATGTTCTGGAGAGATGTACAGAGTATAATATATGGTCTACATTATCCTTCAGATACCTCTGATCATTAGTATTTCTTGAAATCAAACTTTTGCTGAGTTTTGATTTGTAAGCGTTCGTCTCTAGATAACCTGTCAGAGCTTGATCTTGAAATCAAACTCAAAACTCAGCAAAAGTTTGATTTCAAGATCAAGCTCTGACAGGTTATCTAGAGACGAACGCTTACATGGTGTTATTAAAATGAAGCAGAATAAGAAATATATAGCCATTTATGGGAACAATCTGTGGAACTGATATTAAACTGACAGTCTCTAAAAGGTAATCACTGAAGGTGCACGCAAAGCAGCTATGATATTCATATGTTTTTAAAGAATAAAGATATTCTCCCACACACAGTGTTTTTTAAGCAATATACTCAACAACTTCGTATTTACACCAGGCTTATCTCTCTGAAATACAGAGCAGACACTATTACTACCCTTCTCAAAAGTTTTCACTCTGGTACTGGGAAGGTGGCTCAGTGGCATGCATGAGGCCCTGGGTTCAATTCCTCAGCACCACATAAGCAAAAAGAAAAAAGCTGGAAGTGGCACTGTGGCTCAAGTGGTAGAGCGCTAGCCTTGAGCTGAAGAGCTGAGTGACAGTGCCCAGGCCCAGAGCTCAGGCCCCACGACTGGACCCAAAAAAAAAAAAAAAAAGTTTTCACTTGCTCCCCATACCTACTGAAAAATTTCAAAGTTATTAATATGGATGACAGACCCTTTACATGGGCATAATCCTGCCCTTTCAGCCTTGCTATCTACCTTATACTTCAACCATACCACTCTGTTCAGTATTTCCCAGACATGTCATGTAGTCTCAAACTTCCTCTTGCCCTTTATTGGTCAGACCCAGTTTTTATTCTCAGTGAAAGAAGAACTAGATTGGTGGCAATGCCCTCTTGTGTCTGCCACTTCCCTGCTACTGCAGCAGGTCATATAACTAATTTTATCTTTCCTGTCCCCTATAAACTGACCCTCAGCCTTCTTGGGACAGACTGAGCCCTACATGAAAATACCCCTTCGTCCATGTGCATAGGGCTGGTGAACCACTTACCCTGCAATATGGCTCCTTCTTTTTTATATCTTCCTGCTGGATCAGTCTCAAGCCTTGGACACCATTCTGTAGACCTCTCTCGTATAGGGCCTGAAGTCTAGGAATTTCTTCTTGATCAACAGCTACTATTAGCTTCCAAATAAAATGATAAAGAACATGGGTACAATTAAATGTATCAGCTATATAAGAGTCAAAACTTGCATTTCATAGTAAGAAATTAACAAAATTCATGCAGCAATATTTTTAGTCAAGTTACAAAGACTATTTAAATCAATAAATGACTTAAGAAATAACTACCACATAATTTTATACCTTGCTTTTAAATTTATTTATTTTTTATTTTTTGTGACGATTCTAGGGCTTGAATCAGGGACTAAGTGCTGCCCCTGATGCTAGTGCTATGTTTTATGAGCACCAGACCCACTTCTTCTGAGTAGTCTATTGAAGATAAAGAGTCTCACAGACTTTCCTGCCCAGGCAAACTTCAAACCAGGATCCGCAAACTAGGATCTCAGCCTCCTGAGTAGCTAGGATTACAGACATGAGCCACTAGCACCCAGCATATCTTGCCTTTTTACTAAAACTTGTCAGGATTTTAAGTGCCTTTTTTTTTTTTTTTTCCCAGTCCTTGGGTTTAAACTTAGGGCCTAGACACTACCCCTGAGCTTTTCTGCTCAAAGCTCTTGTTCTGGCTCTTGAGCCATAGCTCTACTTCAGTAGTTAATTGGAGGTAACAATCTCACTAAGCTTTCCTGCTCAAGCTGGCTTTGAACCATTATCTTCAGATCTCAGCCTCCTGAGAAGGTAGAATTAAGAGTCATGAGCAACCAGCACCCAACAATGAATTTTTCTTTTTTTCAAATTTTGGTTGGTTGTGGGGCTTGAACTCTGGACCTGGGTGCTGTCCCTGAGCTTTTCAGCTCAAGGAGAGCTCTCTACCACTTGAGCCACAGTACCATTTCGGGTTTTCTGGTGGTTAATTGGAGATAAGAAAGAGTCTCATGGACTTTCCTGCCTGGGCTGGCTGTGAACCACGATCCTCATATCTCAATCTCCTGAAGAGCTAGGAATACAGGCATGAGCCACTGGCACCCCACCCAACAATGAATTTTTTTTCCAACAATGAATTTTTAATAATGAAAATATAGTAATTATATGCCATACCTTGCCACATTGCTTGTAGGGAATTCCCTTTTGTTTACAGTATTCATAGATGAGGGCTGAACCTTTTACACATAATTTAGCTTTCAGAGATTCTGGTTTATAATAAATTCCACTGTGTATGACACCACTATTATGTCCAGTCTGGTGAACAGCTATAAAACCAAAAGGTAAGAGGATGTACATGATTTATATAAATCCTAACAGGTATGAGAACTCAATAGCTAAAGCTATTAAGACACCTTATCATTTAAAAGTTTGTCTAAATTTGCTCAGATTATTGGAACCTCCTCTAGCAACTGTTCCTGATAACCATGTCACATTACTCCTGTCCATCTAATTTCAACTACACTTCTGAATAACACACTACCAACTTTCTACTTACAGGGCCCACTAAATCTCTGTATCTGTCCCAGGGCATTTTCTATCTTTTGAGAAAGGGTGTTCTGTATCACTAGGGGCAATCTCATCAAGAGAGAGGAGTTGATGGATAAATGAACACACTCCTGGGAAACAATGTTCTTCAGATGTTCATCTAGTACAATGAAGCTCCCAGCAGCAACCTGGATGATACTAACCTGGATAATACTAAACCCCCTTCCTATGGATTTTCTTCTTATCTTATTCTCCCTATTCTCTCATTCCTTTCTGCCTCTTCAGTTAACTTCTCAAACCCCCTACACATACAATTCTTTGTCTCACTCAGGCTCCGTTTTTCAAGAGAACCCCATAAAAGATACTAGTAACAGGGGGCTGGGAAGGTGGCTCAGTGGTAGAGTGCTTGCCCTGCATGCATGAGGCCCTGGGTTCGATTCCTCAGCACCACATAAGCAAAATGAAAAAAGCTGGAAGTGGCACTGTGGCCCAAGTGGTAGAGCACTAACCTTGAGCTGAAGAGCTGAGGGACAGTGCCCAGGCCCAGAGTTCAGGCCCCACGACCAGACCAAAAAAAAAGATACTAGTAACAGCATCAGTATGCTTGATTCAAACCTGACAAAAGAAGCAGGTGCCCAACCAATCTGAAAATAATGCTGATAATATATGCTGATAATATACACACCTAAATCCTTCTCCTTTTCCAGAACACCAATTTTAAGTTGAGGATGTCTCAGGGTGAGTGCTCTCGCAGAGGCAAGTCCCACAATTCCACCACCGACAACAACTATATCAAATGAGCTGTGGAAAAAAAGCCACTTTTAAAGACTTGCCTGTCTATAGTAGATCCCACCACACTTCACGTGAACAACTTTTATCATCAATGGACAACTACTCATTTGTAATAACTATCATATATATGTATATATGTACATGTACACATGTATACATATGTGTATATATGTGTGTAAATAACTCTCTATATATGGTACTATTTCTCTTCATACTCAAGAACAAACCGTTGAAAGTTCCACACTTGGTCATTTGATTAGTGACAGCCTGACAGGGAGGATGGCAGCTTGGTTTCCAAAACTATACTATATCTCTAGTACCTGCTAGCTGGGCCAGTTACATTAGCGCTTACTTTGTGTCAATCATTATATTTTCTCTACCAACTATCCTTTTAAATTCAATTGTAGTATTCTTCAGGATAGGCTAACACATACTATAATATATATAATGTATAATATTTTATTATAGAAAAATCAAAGCTTAGAAATAATTGGTCCAGGATGTGCTCAGAATCAATCTTAGATATGAAATTGGCTATGCAGCTATTTAAAAATACATAATGGCGTATGTAATTTATCTAACTCTGCAATGAAAAACTTAAAAATTACTTTCATCACTGATCTCATGGACCACAAATCATGATGATTTAATCTATTTTATAAGCACAGTAAAGTAAGGTAAGTGGTCTAGGTTATTCTTTTGAAAAGTGATCTAAACTTCAATTTTAAGATCCTAAGTGGGGCTGGGAAAGTGGCTCAGTGGTAGAGTGCTTGTCTTGCATGCATGAGGCCCTGGGTTTGATTCCTCAGCACCACATAAGCAGAAAAAGCTGGAAGTGGCGCTGTGGCTCAAGTGGTAGAGCATTATCCTTGAGCTGAAGAGCTGAGGGACAGTGCCCAGGCCCAGAGTTCAGGCCCCACAACTGACCAAAAAAAAAAAAAAAAAGATCCTAAGCAAAGGCTGGTCACTGGTGGCTCATGTCTATAATCTTAGTTACTCAGGAGGCCAAGATTTGAGAATCAAGGTTTGAAGCCAGTCCAGGCAGACAAATCTAAGAGACTTTTATATATCCAATTAGCAAGCAAAAAGCCAAATTGACTTTTTTTTATAGCTTAAGTGGTAGAGCACCAGCCCCAAGCCAAAAAAAAAAAGACAGCCAGAAGTACAGAGTTTAAGCCCTAGACCCCACCCTACACACATCTCCTCAAGAGATGCAGAATGATTTGATTACAATCATTATCATGTCTGCAGTCAGGTCTAGAAGTAGAAACAGTTAGGGACTAGCATAATGTTGATAAATCAAAAATTGCATTTTCCTTGTATTTTCTGGTGCCAAAAGCCAAGCTTCATCCCCACCATTCAATCTCCTAACTCTCTTTCTCCCTTCCCTCCCTCCCTCTTCCTCTTTCCCTCCCTTTCCTCTACAATCTCTGATATGGGCCATTTGCCACATTTTGAGCCCCAGCACCCAAAACAGGATGCTGATGCTTTTTCCATTAATGGTGATCAGTGGTCAAAATTCCTGACTTACTCCTGTGCTGCCTCTTAAAACATCTTGCTCCCTTAAACTGCTTTGTCTGGCCATCATATACACTGGACAACCAGTCTTGGTGGCCTGGATTCAGAACTTCCAAATTCCAGATTCTTTACCACAGTGATAATTTCATATAGAAAAAGGTAAGAGCTTCCTTATTCAAGCTTTCTTCTACCTTAGCTTCCATCTTTCTCTATGCAAATGGTGTACCCCCTACTAGATCCTGTTACTGGATGACCACCCTAAAACCTCCTCCAATTCATGTCCCTCCACCATTACCCCCACTGAGACTGCCTCCTCTTTAGACTGGCTAATCCTTCCCTTCTCCCAGACCTGACCACTGCCCCTCATCTTCTGTCCCCTATTCACACCTAGTTCCACACCACCAGTGCCATTCTTATCCTCCCACTGCAGGAAATGGCTGGAGTTAAAGTTCCCATTTTGCATTCACAGATATCACGCAGATAGTAGAAAAATTGAGCTCATTCTCAGACAATACCACCAAAGTCAGGAAGGAAATTTTCAGCCATGCATATGGTCTCACCTGGACATTAATTTCTTCAACCCTTTCCCAATATGAGAAGGAAAAGAATATTGGACGCAGTGGAGCAACATGCTGATCATTTTTGCATACGCAGCAGCCCAATCAGCACTCTGTCAGTCCAGACAGGCCCTTGGGGCCTGTTTCTGCTGTGGTAATTCAGGACTGGATCAAAGTCTGTCCCAGCCCAAGAAGCCCTGCCCCTCTGCCAGCATAGGGGACATTGGTAAATTACTTATTTCTAAAGGAGGCAGACATCCCAGGGTTCAAACACAATTACCATGTTCCCCACCTGAACAGCTGATTCCAGGCCACTTTTCCATCTTAAGTGACTGATGGACAGGACCTGGATCATACAGCACCTGCAACAGGCAAGTTCATTGATCTGAGAGTCACTGGAATGGGAAAGTGTTATTTCCACACAAAGGCCTCCTCCATCATTGGAATGAAGGGAACCCCAGAAAATCCCTAAAAGCTCCATTGCATTGCATCTTCGGGTCCCATTCTTTCATGCACTCCTTCCTAGTCCTTCCCAATCACACATCCCCTCTATTGGGTCAGGATCTTCACTGCTTGGGAGTACGCTTTCCTTCCTAGGATTCAAGGGACACCACCCCAAGCAATTAACCCCCACCTTTCCTGCCTCCAGGACCTTCTATCACCCAAAATGATTCCTGATGCAAAGACCTTTCATAAATTAACCTCTTTCTGGGACACATTCCACCCAGCTATGCCCTCATATCACATTCCTGTTCTCATTTCCACATAAAGTCTCTACCCATATTGTAACTGTTCTCCAATAATCCCTTGACAGAGAGGGGCAGCAAAGCTTCAAACCTGAACTGATTATCTCCTCAGCTCCACCTCCTGATTCCCACCCATGTCCCCCCAAAATACCACCACCCTGCCCATGAAATAGCCCATCTGTTCTCTCTGCTTAGTTCAAGATTTATGCACCTATCTGTTGTCCCTAATCCCTACACTTTCCTGTCTCTTAATTCCATCTGAGCTCAAGGATGCCTTTTCCTCTTCCCTTATGTCCCACTTCACAACCTCTTTTCACCTTGGAAAACCCCTATTTTATTTAAAAAATGTCATATTTGGTGATGATGGTTATTAAATCAGCTATAACCAGACATTTTCTAAGATCAGTATGATTTTATGAAGTCAATGCTTAAAAGGAAAGCTGATATTATATATGGCTTACAAATTTAAAGAAGGTTAAAAACAAAATCTACAGATAAGGTAAAATCAATTTTTTGAGTCCTGGGCTTTGTATCCAGCAAAAACAGGTTATTGTGTGTGTGTGTGTGTGCGTGTGCTCACACACGCACGCGCGCGCTCACACACGCACGCGCGCGCGCACACACATGCATGCTAGTCCTAGGGCTTGAACTCAGGGCCTGGGTGTTATCCCTAAGCTTTGTGCTGAAGGCTAGCACTCTTATTACTTGAGCTGCACCTCTCCTTAAATCTCAGCCTCCAGAGTAGGATTATAGGTGTGAGCTACCTGTGTTTAGCTACAGCAAAAAGGTTTTAGGGGCTGGGAAGGTGGCTCAGTGGTAGAGTGCTTGCCCTGCATGCATGAGGCCCTGGGTTTGATACCTCAGCACCACATAAGCAAAAAGAAAAAAGCCGGAAGTGGCGCTGAGGCTCAAGTGGTAGAGTGCTAGCCTTGAGCTGAAGAGCTGAGGGACAGCACCCAGGCTCAGAATTCAGGCTCCATGACTGACCCCCCCCCCCAAAAAAAAAGGTTTTAAAAGTTCAATCTAAGATTTGTTATAAAATTTCTAGCAAAAAGGATTAAAAAAGCTCACTACAACAGAAACTTTTAATTAATATTTAATGAGCCAATGCTAATTGTTTTAACCACTAAAGACACTATGGTTAACAGTTTAACCTGGAAATAAACACCAAAAAATCAGCATTTCATCTCAAAAAGTTGGTTTGACCATTTTTTCTTAAAAGTGTATTTTATAAAATACTTCCTCAGGAAAAATAAAAATATTCTAACATGTAACATTATTACTAAATCTAGTAAAAATATCAAATTTTATGCCATTAGTTTAGCTTATACATTCTTCACATTATTTCTTCATAATGTAAACTTTAAACAAATGATAGAATAAAAAAATGCCTGTTTAATATACCTGCTAAAAGGAATTATTCATAAAATGTTTTTCAGCCAATTTTTTTTTTTTGGGGGGGGGGGGGTCGGTCGTGGGGCTTGAAATCTGGGCCTGGGTGCTGTCCCTGGGCTCTTCAGCTCAAGGCAAGTGCTCTACCACTTCACAGTATCACTTCTGGCTCTTCAGCTCAAGGCAAGTGCTCTACCATTTGAGCCATCTGGTGGTTATTAGAGCTAAAAGTCTCATGGACTTTCTTGACTAGGCTGGCTTTGAACCTCAATCCTCAGATCTGAACCTTCTGAATAGCTAGGATTACAAGCATGAGCCACCTACACCTGGCTAATTTTTTTTTTTAAATCAAATGTGATCAGATTTCTTAATAAACAAAAAACGTGCTAATATGAATTTAAAATGGACAAAAAAATCAGCAAGTGAAAATCAACAATGAAAAAAGTATATAGAAAGGTATGAAGGCATGTTTTCTAAAAAAGGAAATTTAAATTGGGTGCCAGTGGCTTATGCTTGTAATCCTAGCTATTCAGGAGGCTGAGATCTGAGGGTATTGGTTCAAAGCCAGCCCTGGCAACAAAGTCTGTGAGACTCTAATCTCCAATTAAGTACCAATTAGAGGGAAATGGAGCTGAGGCTCAAGTAGTAGAACACTAGTTTTGAGTATAAAAGCTCAGGAATAGCGCCTAGGCCTTGAGTTCAAGCCTTAGGACCAGGGGGAAGAAAAAAAAAAAGGAGAGAGAAGATGCTTTGGGATAAGGAGGATTTTTGAAAAGTAAGACTTAGTCCTTAACTGGTTGTTCTGAAATGAATTAAGACAAATCTCAGAATGTTCAAAAAAGTAGCAGAGTATGTGAGTATGTTTTGAGTTTTATAAGATTAAGATTATAAAATATTGGCAAGATTGGTATGTGATTAGGCTGACTGCAATGTAAAACATTACTGAAAGGTTTTTCTAAGGTAAAAGCCATCTATTCTCTGTAACAAGGAGGCTTCCTTAAGGAAAAATACTATTTACCAATGTAATTGATTGGGTAGTTGATCTTGTCAAGTTTTCGATAACTTAAAAATCTATCTTAAAGTCAGGCACCGGTGACTCATGCCTGTAATCCTAGCTACTCTGGTCTGAAGGCTGAGATCTGAGGATTGCCATTCCAGCCTGGGCAGGAAAAGTCCGGGAGACTCTAACCTCCAATAAACCACTCAGAAAACTGGAAGTGGTGCTGTGGCTCAGTGGTACAGTGCTAGCCTTGAGCTGAAGAGCAGAGGCCCAGAGTTCAGGACCCATGACTAACAAAAAATAAAAAACAAAAACCTATCTTAACGAAGTCAAAATTCATTTAAATAATTGTTTATCCAAGGTCTCTTAGTGGTCACTTTATAACTAAGTATGTAAAACTGTATATTAGTTCATTTTTCTACCTTCTAAACACATCAAATCTCTTAAAAGATTTTAGTGCTGGCAGCTGGTGATTCACACCTGTAATCCTAGATACTCAGAAGGCTAAGATCTGAGGTTGGCTGTTCAAAGCCAGCCCAAGCAGGAAAGCCTATTGTTATAAATTTGCTCTCCAAGAACTGGAATCACAATAGATATGAAAATGATGTCTGAGCAGGACAAAATTTATTTCTGCACAGAAAGGGGTGCCATCAGCCAATGATCAGCAGGAAGTCTGCTCTATCCCTCACACAGCAGGCCTAGCTCCTCTGCTCAGATTGGTTAACCTCAGGTTCACAATCTGTTTGGGATTGGCTAGTCTGAATAGGATAAAATGTATTTACATAACAAGATTTTGAAATAAGATTATCAGTACACGAGTAAACTCAAAATATCCACACCCTCTGCTATTTCTTGAACAGTCAGGGGTGTGTCTTAACTGCATCTAGAAAGGAAACCAGTTAAAGACAAAACCTTACATTTCAAAAATCCTTTTTTTATTCCAATCCCTCTTTTCCTTATACAGGGCCAAGCCACAAGGCCAAAGCAGGAACTTTTAAGCAACACACTTTAACAGGGAAGACAATTTTTCCCACACTATGAGATTCTTATCTCCAATAAACTACTAAAATGTCAGAAGTAGAGTTGTGGCTCAAGTGGTAGAGCGTGAGCCAGGACAGGCGCGCGCACACGCGCACGCACACGCACGCACACACACACACACACACACACACACACACACACACACACACAAAGGGTTTTAGTCATCCTTAAGTCCTATCTAGATAAACAAAAATAAGAATATATATATATCTTCCAGCGACCTATTAGCTATAAAGTTCCTCCCCTTTTCCTCCCCCTCCCGCCCCTCCAGCCATGTGGCCCACAGCTGGGATGTAGAGAGAACCCTCTCAGGTTTTCTCTGGGTCGCTCCTTGTCTCTGACTCTCACTGCTCACTCTATTCCTTACAAAACCACCCTACCCACCAGCGATCCTGAGACTCTTCTGCGCCTTTACCGAGATCAAGTGATTGATGCCCACTACCGAGGCCAGGCTCACTCCAGACCAACACTTTCTTCTGGCTCGTAAATGCCACAGGTCAACCCCGCAGTTTTTAGCTTCTAGGACCAGAGGTCGGAGCTCCAAACCCCGTCCGGGAGGAACAGGCTAGGACTCAAGTCCGGCACGAGACGCCCCCTGACAGGAGCGCTGGCGCCGGGCCCGAGGCAACTCACCTGGTGCTGGCGCGGCGGCTACCCCCGCACAGCGGCCTGGGTCTCCCCGACGCCGACGCGCAAAAGCCTCCCAGGAAGCCTCCGAGGGCCTGTCTGCAGGAACCACGGAGGTAACGCAGCACCGCCACCATCGCCGGCTCCCCCGTCCTCGACCTCAACCTCTCGACGTCGCTGCCAGAACCCAGCCACACTGCGCGGGTCCCGCTACGCACTGGTCCCGCCTCCACAGAGGCCAATCAGACGCGCGCCTTCGAACCACGTGAGAAGTGGCGAATGAGTGCGCGCGGCGGAGGGCGGACGGCAAGGGCAAGACGCAGGACGCAGTGACGCAACCTGAGCACGCTCCCTCGCTCCCTCCCTCCCTACGACGCTGTGAGTAGAGGCTCATAAGCCTGCGCGGGGCGGGGCTGGGGTGGTGGTTACGCTCGATCCCTTTCCCAGACCCAATGGTGGGCTGACTGAACATTTGACCCCAATCAAGTCTCGAATCTTGAATTTTCATTGCCCAGCCGAGTAGGGCCGCGGAAGAAAATGTGGGCGTAACTATGGCGAAAACCTTGTTCGGTTGGCCGGAGTTCGCCCAGGTCTTCAGGCCCGGGTCGGCCGCGCCCTGTCCGGTCCCACCCTGCCAGGCCCCGCCCCCTGGAGCGTGTGGAGCGGCGTTGCTGGGCAACCGGCCAGCGTTGCGCTCTGTGTCTGCTACAGGGCTTCCTCCGGTCGGGCACCCGGACTCTAAGGCTCGGGGTCTCGGCCGCGCCTGACAGCCTGCAGCCTTCTGGACTTTTTAATGGGCTCCTAGGGGTGCCATTTATTCCGTCGTCCTTTGGTCTTGTAAACACCGAGCGCCTACTCTTCGGACCTGACAGCTCGCCTTCGGTCATCACTTAGCATTCGGGGTCTTTTTTGAGGTACGAAGGGGTTGGAACTCAGGACCTCCTGATTTCTCTAGGAGAATCTCGGTCACTTGAGCCACACCCCTCGCCTATCTGTGCTTTGGCCGTCTTTTTCAGATTGAGGCTCCTAGGCTTTTTGCCTTGGGCTGGCCTGGGGTCAGGACCCTCCTGTACCCTGTGCCTTCTGAGTGCCGCTGCAGTCCCCAGTCACCTGTTAGTTTACTTTGCAGAATCTGGCCTGGAACCCCTTTCAATCCAACCTTTGCCTCTTTGGGAACCGGAATTACAGGAGCGTACCACCTAGTTAGATCTTCTGTTCTTCCTTAAAAAGTAGACATGCTTTTTGTCTGTTTGTTGTTGTCAGTGCCCGCCCTAGAGCACTGCTTTTTTGCTCAAGGCTAGTGGGCAAGGCTCTGGGGTACAGTTTTTACCACAGCTCCACCTCTGGCGTTTTTGGTTAATTGAAGATGAGAGTCTCTCAGACTTTCTTCCCGGGCTGGCTTTGAACGGTGATCCTCAGCTCTCAGCCTCCTGAGTAGCTAGGATTATAGGCGTGAGCCACAGGCGCTAGGACGTTAGACAAGTTTTTGTTGTTGTTGTTTTGTTTTTAAATAACAGCCAGCTACCTGTGTAGGTAACTTTACCCATGTTTCCTTATCTATAAAACCTGGGTAATGGGCCACATAATCTCTAAAGCACTTGTAAAGGGTAAAATTTGTGTGATTCTGTCAGCTTGCCAGTGCCATACCCATTCTTCTCTGCTGACAGCAGTCTTTAACTTTTAAGATCAGCACCACTGAACAAAACTAAGGATAGAATGACATAACTTTATTGCTGGAAGGACACTGAATCTTAGTTCCAGTCATGAGGTAGGTGGCTCAGGAAAGTCACTCACTTTATTTTTTGGCTGGTCGTGGGGCCTGAACTCTGGGCCTGGGCGCTGTCCCTCAGCTCTTCAGCTCAAGGCTAGCGCTCTACCACTTGAGCCACAGCACCACTTCCGGCTTTTTCTGCGTATGTGGTGCTGAGGAATCGAACCCAGGGCCTCATGCGTGCAAGGCAAGCGCTGTACCACTGAGCCCCTCACTCACTTTATTTTTTTAAATTAATTTTTTTTGTCAAAGTGTGTGGTACAGAGGGGTTATGGTTACATACATAAGATAGTGAGTACATTTCTTGTTGAAAATTGTTACCCCCTCTCTCGTTTTCTCCCTCACTTCTTTCTTTGTCTCAGAATCCCTTCTGTGGTGTAAAGCCATTGAATTGATTCCATGTGAAAAAGCTCATCAGATGCTGGGTACAGAGAAGCACTAGGTAAACAACTTTTATTATGCTTAAGTGGTTTTATCCTAAGAATAACATATATTTTGCTTTGTGGGAAAAAAAGTAGAACGTGGCTATTTTGTTTCATCACAAGTGAAAAAAAAGTGGGCTTTTTAAATCATTTTTTTGAGATAATAGGTTCCTATGCAGGTGTAAGATCTTGTGTGTATTTCATCCATCTCCTCTGGTGATACCACCTTGTAAAACTATAGTATGAGATCATAGCTGGTTGCTAGTAGCTCTTTCCTGTTGCAAGTCACCTGTGTCCTTACACCCCACCACCACCCTCACCCCCCCATCCAAATTGTTTTATGTTTCAATACTTCATTCCATAATATAGATGTACTGTATTTAATCATTTCTTCTTTGAAAGACATGTGAGGCTGAGAGTGTGGTTTACTCCTATAATCTATGGAAAACAGTTCCAGATAATCCAAGCAAAACCTTGGCAGACCTTAATCTGGCAAACAAGCCAGACATGGTGGGGGCACATCTGTAATCCCAGTGGGAATGTAACAGGCTGAGGACCCTGCGCAAAAATTGAGACGCTGCCTGAAAAAATAATAAGCAAAAACGGTCTTGCATAGCAAATAGGAGCCTGAAGTTTACAACAACAACAACAAAAAGACATCTGTTTCCAGATTTTAGATGTCATAATTAAAGCTGTTAGTAACATAAGTGTATAGCTTTTTGTGTGTATCCGTTTTTGTTTCTCTAGGATTAGTGCTCAAGAGTCCAATTGCTGAGTCATATGGTGAGAGCATGTTTAATTTTGTAAAAAGTCATCTGTTTTCCATATAGCAGTATCATCTTATATTCCAACCATCATTGTGTGATTGTCACCAACATTGTGATGGGGTTTTTCTAATTGTAACTATTCTGATAAGTATACAGTAGAGATAGTTATTTTTTAGCTCACACAGGATTATGGTAGAATATGGAATTATATGGTCCCAGGAGCTTTGATCAGACTTTTCTGAGCTAGCTAGGCTCACAGTTTTGATTTTTTTTTTTAAACTACGGTGTGTTTTTTGAGATTCTGCTTAGTTTAGCAAGGGTAAATAACTCAGAATACACATATCTTTTTATAAAACTTTCTTTTTTGTGTTTTTTAAATTTTTTATTATCTTTATGTGGTTGTACAAAGAAGTTCCCATTCTACAAAATAGTATATGAATACAAAGTGTCTGATAACATTGTCACCCATTGATCCTAACCCATCCCTTCCTAACCCACCCCTTCTCTCACTTTTCTTTCTTTTTTTTAATTGAGATTAGGTGATTACCTAGATTTCACATATTTCACAATATTTATAAAACTTTCTTTGAGCCGGGCACCCATGGCTCATGCCTGTAATCCTAGCTACTCAGGAGGCTGAAATATGAGGATCGCTGTTCAAAACTGTGGTTCAAAGCCAGCCCGCAGCCAGGAAGGTCCATGAGACTCTTTATCTCCAAGAAACCACTAGAAAACTGGAAGTGGTGCTGTGGCTCAAGCGGTAGAGCGCTCGCCTTGAGCTGAAGAGTGCAGGGACAGTGCCCAGGCCCAGAATTCAATCCCCACGACTGGCAAAACAAAAAACAAAACCTTTCTTTGTTTGCTTCCCCCATTTCAAGGGTTGTACAATAGTTGTTATAATTAAGTAATTCAGATTAAGAGTTTGCCTTGACTTCATTCAGATAATCTGAATAATATCTGTGGGTAAAGACATTTGTGTTTGTGACCCCCCATCTTCAGATGAGAATTTATGTTCCAGGAGTACCATTTGATGGCCTAAGCGTGGCTTTGGGGATCTTTACTTCTAATTTTTAATGAATTGATGTTGATCTGTTTCATTTGATTTTACACACTTCAAAATAAGAACTGGAAAGCCAGGCTTGGTGGTGTATACATGTAATCTTAAGTATTCTGGAGGATGGCAGTTCAAGGTCAGCTGGAACCAAAGTTAAAGCCTATCTGATAAACTTAAAAAGCTAGAGGACTGGGGCTGGGAAGGTGGCTCAGTGGTAGAGCGCTTGCCTTGCATGTATGAGGCCCTGGGTTCGATTCCTCGCCACCATATAAGCAGAAAAAAAACCCAGAAGTGGCACTGTGGCTCAAGTAGTAGAGTGCTAGCCTTGAGCTGAAGAGCTGAGGAACAGCGCCCAGGCCCGGAGTTCAGGCTCCACGACCAGAACCCCCCCCCCCCAAAAAAAAAAAAAAAAAACTAGAGGACTGGGAGTGTGGCTCAAGTGGTAGAGTCATATAGTTCAGATGGTGAACAATGAGTGACTTACAGTGGGATAGTTATAATTAGGGAAAATCTACCCCTATTCTAATGCCTTCCCCACCTCCTCCAACCCTTATCCACGCAAATCTGGGGCTTGAACTCAGAACCTTGGCTTGGTCCCTAAGCTATTTTACTCAAAGATAGTGCTCTCCTACTTGAGCCACAGCTCCACTTCTGGCTTTTTGATGGTTAATTGGAGATAACTGTCTCATGAGCTTTCCTTTTTTAGCTGATTTTGAAAGCAGTCTTCAGATCTCAACCTCATGAGTAGCTAGGATTATAGGCATGAGCCACTGGTGCCAGTAACTCTAGTCTTTTTGACCACCAAATTATTCATAACTTTCAATATCCCACTCAGTAATTTCATTTATTTACTTAATTTTATGTGTGTGCTGGTACTGGGGCTTGAACTCAGAAGCCTCATGCTCTCCCTTGGTTTTTTGGGTTTTTTCCCCCTTAAGGCTGGTGCTCTACCACTTGAGCCATACCTCTACTTCCAGGTTTTTTTTTTTTTCTGATTAGAGATATGTCTGCACAGGCTGGCTTTAAAACCCAATTCTCAGATCTCAACCACCTGTAGCAAGGATTATAGACATGAGCCACTAGCCTCTATCACTTGACTATAATTATATTTAGTATGCAAAATCCTAACTTCCACTTTAAAAATATTACTGGTGTCTTCATTAGTTTGTTTTGTGGTAATGGCGTTTGAACTCAGGGCCTTGCACTTGCTAAGTAGGAGCTCTACTTGAAGCATACTCTAGACCAAAATATTTGTTTTATACAAATGGGAAAACTCAATCAAGCTCAGAAAACCCTTTGTATTTTTAATAACCTATTAAAGGTCCATTCTAAGTCACAGATAATTTCACATACAAATTTCAAGGTTTAGAAACACTGGTCCTAAGCCATGTTCTTATAGTAAGTCCCCCCCCCCCCCCTAATTTGAATTCCTGGATTATTTACAGCCCCATTTAATCATAGTTATTTTCCAACTTGATTTTCATTGGTTTTAACTTATTAGAACCAAATACACCAATTTACCACTAGAGGTCTCTTCTTACCATGTAGAAAGCATTCCCAGGGGGAGCTGTTTGCATTTAAGAAGGATTAACTCCTAAAATTAGTAATGTTCCACTTGAGAATGTAAAAATCCACCATTTTTAAAAACAATTATTGCCAAATAGAATTTATTTTTCATGATAATTCACTTGAAATATAATACCTGTTTTGTTTTTTTTTTTTCAAAAAAAGAGATCATATCTAAGGTAAATTTGACCTTCCCATTAAACAAGTATAAAATGGGCCCAAAAGAATCAAGTGAAAGCATTTCGTTTTCAAAGACAGTGCTACTTTACCTACTTAATAACAGTTCTAGTGTTTGACTTTTATTCATGGATATTTACTAATTGTTCAAGACTGCCAACAGTATTTTGTTAAATGTTTATGCTGATAAAAATGGGAGTAAGATGTAATGTCATTTTCTTCTGTTCTTATTTTTGCTTTGCATGCTTTGTCTTTCATCTTCACTGAAAACTCAATCCCTTAAGACCCATCTCAAAAGACACCTCTGGCCAAAGCTTTCCCCTCAGTTTTCTAGCCTCTCAGAGCACTTATTAACATGCATTAAGAAGAGTAACATAGGGGCTGGGAAGGTGGCTCAGTGGTAGAGTGCTTGCCTTGCATGCATGAGGTCCTGGGTTCAATTCCTCAGCACCACATAAGCAGAAAAGGCTGGAAGTGGCTCAAGTGGTAGAGCTCTAGCTTTGAGCTGAAGAGCTGAGGGACAGTGCTCAGGCCCAAAGTTCAGGGCCCACAACTGGCAAAATAAACATTTTTTAAAATTTTTTAAAAATTAAAAAAAAGAAAAGTAACATACTGTAAAATGCTTACCTGTTTACACATCTGTCTTTTCCAATAGATTCTATGTGCTATGAAGACAGGAACCAGATCTTTTTCTTTGTATTTTTCTCTTTTGTTGTTTCATCTTTCCTTTGTACTAAGCATAGCAGTTGTCCAATAAACATTTGTTGACTGAATGAATGAACAATGGATGAACATGACATTTGCATAGCCGAGTTTTGGTACAGTTTCCACAGATAGGATCAAGGGTGGAGTGAAGAGACTAAAAACCTGAGCAGAAGCCCAGATTTGTAAATGAGATACACTGGCAACCAAGGGAGTTATTAGAGATGAGTATGTGAAGAAGCTCAAAGAAAGAGCTGAGTTGAGAACATGCAAGGAGTGACAGCGAGAGGCTTTCAGCAAATGAAGACAATATAGAAAAGAGATGAAGAGAGGGACTAAGATCATAGATGAGTGGTAGAGGGCTTGACTAACGTACATGTGCATGGCCCTAGGTTTCATTCTCCATACATCAGGAACAGACAGAGGGAAAGGGAGGGAAAGGAGAGAGAAACAGACCGATAAAGAGAGGATAGTAGATTATTTCCGAATTCTGTCATCTTTCATTTTCTGAGTATCCTTAGTGACTTCCTCAGCTCAAAGTGGCTCCCATTCAGACATCTTTCTAGTTGTCTTTCTCTTGAGTTCTAGAACCATCCAGTGATTGAAAAAAAAAGGGACCTAGACTAGTAGTAGCAATACTGGGTTCAAGTTTCAGCACTGACACCAATTAGCCATGAAACATTGAGCAAGTCCCTTAAAACACATGCATTTATTAATGCCCCACCTTGTTCCAGAAAGGATTGAAGGTGTGAGCAAGTTACTTAATATCAAGTCTTGGGTTTCCTCATCTCTAAATGAGAAGCTTGGTCTAGGCAACCTAGGTTCCTTCCCACTCTAAGGCTTTATGACTCTGATTCCAATAATTTGTTGGTCATTCCGCTTAGGAGTCCTACCCACACTTCATATTTGGAGTATGCAAATCTGAAGATTAAGAAAAGAACCTACTGAGCCTACATCATGTTCTGAAGTTCATTTCCTAATAGTAACATTGCCATCCTTCCAATGACCCAGCACAAAACTTAATGTCATCTTCAACTCTTCTTGCTCTTGCCCCTATATCTCACTGAGCCATATGGAATCTAACTCTAATATCATTCCCTTCCCTTTTTTACTAAGTCATTTTCAAAGTGGCTGAAGCCCTGTTGGCTACTTTATTGACTTTTTTTTTTTTAGACAGTGTTAGCAATGTTGGTGACAACAGCTATTCATGCTAGTAGCCTTGAATTACTGGTCTCGAAGAATTCTTGAGCTGGGAATGTGGCTTAGTGGTAGAGTGCTTGCCTAGCATGCCTGAAGCCCTGGGTTCAATTTCTCAGTACCACATAAACAGAAGAAGTCGGAAGTGGAGTTGTGGCTCAAGTGGTAGAGTGCTAGCCTTGAGCAAATGAAGCTCAGGGACAGTGCCCAGACCCTGAGTTCAAGTCCCAGGACTGGCAAAATAAAAAATAAAAAAAGAATTCTTGAATCCTCCTGGCTCAGTTCTGGAGTAGCTGAATTTGCAGGCCTATACCACAATCCCTAGCTTGACTCTCAATGTTGGTTTTGTGTCTAGTGAATTTCCTGATGCATAGCTCTAACAATGGCAGTTTTCTGTTTTAAAACCTCAGTGACTCCCACCTGTCTGCAAAATATAGGCTCTTCCTGACCTGGCTGTGCAAATTGTCAGCTTCTTTTCATGACTGGTCCCCTCCCCCATGAGCTAACCCAACCCTACAATGTCCCTGTGTCAATTTATCTGGCAACTTAGTCTGTTTAATTCTTCTCGGCCTTACATGAACTCTTTTGAAGCATTTCTCAGGTCCTGTCAGTTATTGAGGTACTTGGTAACTTGTCTTAGGCCATTTCTGCCTGTTTTAAATTGTGAGTTTCTCTAAAGCAGAGGTCACATTAATTTATCTTCTTTTCCCACACAATCTGACACACTACTAGAGAAACATGAATTGGGTTAAATCAGATTGGGGCCTAGTCAAAACATCACTCTCAACTGTGCTTATTGACTTTTACAGCTGGAAACCATCTGAGCAAATCTCTGTTTGCAAATGTGAAAAGGCCAGGGTCAGAGAGGTGGAGTTACTTGCCCAATCTTTCCCAGCTGTTCTTTGTACTACTCTGGAGAGCCCACTTGTAGCTTTATTATAAATAGCTGTATTTTCATGTCTCCTTTCCTTTCCTGTATAGAAAGGGCATCTTAGCCCCAGCACATTACTCTATTGGTGACTATAGTTTGTCATTTTGCTACTGGAAATGGAGATTGGCAATAGAACTGGCTTAAGCAAATTTGAAGTTAACACTGCCTGAATAGACACTAGGTGGCAACACTGCAGACAGACACCAGTTGAGGATTGGACAATGGAATGTAATGCTGTAAGAAATCTTAGCCACTGGCTAATCCTACCCCTCATTTTTTGCATCTAAAAAAGAAACAGAAATCTAGGAACCAGAGATGGGAGTGACTTGCTCAACAACTTTTGTGTGACAAATGAATCATCAATTTTATTTGCATAAGAGTAGTAGCTCTTAAATTATGAAGTAAGTTAGTAGATTATGGGATTCTGGTTGCCAGCTGATAGGTTAATGTGAGTACTCTTGTGTGTCTAGATCAAATGATGCTGTTTAGAAAAATTTCCCAACAGTTGTGTGGCTTAAAGAAACTTCAATGGTCCTGTGACTCCAGGTACTTCTGGGAATGGCTGAACACCGTGTTCAATAAGTAAGTGAATAGGAAGAAATGTGGGACTTGTTACAGCAAGATAGGCTCCCAGTAGTTAGTTGATTATTTCTTGTATTTCAAGTGCTTTTCAAGTGCTGTATGATCCTAATTTTGTTTATTAATAAAATATGGACAAAAGACCACAAGAACAGATAGTAGTCCTTGTGATGTCTTTCAAGTATTCTGAAATGAATTTATGACCTTTATTAACAGAAAAACTCAACCAGTATATAATTTTATAATAGTTAATTCTACAACTTCTTCACTATTATCAAGGTAAAAATTTTTTAATGAATAGCATATTTAAAAATAACACTTCACTTGAAACTGATGTAATGTTCTCCTTGCTTAATAAAGCATTATGATGGCTAACTACAAAAAGGTATATGTAGAAATTAATATATATAAGAAGATTCATTTGAAAGTGAAAAATATGAAAATGATTCCTTCAGTCTTTTATCATGGATAAAAATGCTAATTATGTATAATTATTCATTCAATACATATTAACTAGGTATCTCTGTATCAAACATTATACTACATATGAATCAATAATGACCCCTGTTTACCTGATAAACCTATATAAAAATAATGTGTCTCAGGATTTCAGGTCAGTTTTAAAGCACTTAACTAGCATATATGAGCACCTTAGTTGAGAGCTCCATTACTACACAAATTAAAAATGAGTAATAATCAGCTTTTCAGGAAGCTGAGATCAGAAGATCATGATTCGAAGCTGGAGAATCTTATCTCCAATTAACCATCAAAAAACCAGAAGTAGAGCTGTGGCTCAAGTGGTAGCCTTAAATGAAAAAGCCCAATGACAGCACCCGGGACAAGCCCCAGGATAGCATACATATACACAAAAAATAATAAGTAATATGTAGTTCTGTGGTAAAGTGTTTGTATGCTATGCATAAGGTTTTAGGTTCAATCCCTAGCACTACCAGCTGTCGATGGCTCACACCTATAATCCTAACTACTCAGAAGGTTGAGATCTGAGGATTGTGGTTCAAAGCCAGCCTGGGCAGGAAAGTCTGTGAGACTCTTATCTTCAGTAAAGAACTGGAAGTGGCACTCTGGCTCAAGTAGTAGAGTGCTAACCTTGAGCACAGAGGCTTAGGCTTATTACCCAGGCCTTGAGTTCAATCTCCAGAACCAGGAAAAAAAAAATCCCCAGCACTACTGTGTTTAACATGGTGGCATATGTCTAGAATCCTAGTACCCAGGCTACATAGTGAGGCCTTGCATATAATAATAATGAAGAGGAAGAGAAAAAGAAAAAAGATGAAGATGAAGAAAGAAGGAGAAGAAAAGAACATCAGTAGCAATCATATGACAGAGTTTACCTGGAAATAAAAATGAAAGCAAAGCTGGCTCAAGTCTGTAATCCTAGCTACTCTCGAGAACTGAAGAGGATGGTTTGAAGCCAGCCTAGGGAGGAAAGCATTAGACTCCTATCTCCAATTAATGTTTCCCTCCCCCAAAAAAGCCCAAAGTAGAGCTGTAGCTGAAGTGGTAGAGCACTATCCTTGAGCAAATAAAGCTCAGGGACAGCTCCCAGGCCATGAGTTCAAGCCCCAGCACTACACCTTCCCTTACCCCCACAAAAGCAAGAGAGTTGGGGTTTTTTCCCCCATGGATTTAATTTATATTCTATCTCCCTCAGTAATTTTGCAATGGAAATTTGTTGGTCATCTGTATGTTGGTTAGTACCATTAAGAAGCTGATGATTATAGTAAAAGCAAACTACTTTCTTCTCTTGTCAATAGAGTGGATTATGAACGCATCAGGGATGTTGGCCCTGACAGGGCTGCATCTGAGTGGTTACTGCGCTGTGGGGCTATGGTGCGTTACCACGGCCAGGAGAAGTGGCAGAAGGATTACAACCACCTCCCAACAGGCCCTCTGAACAAATACAAGATTCAAGCGATTGATGCCACTGATTCTTGTATCATGAACATTGGATTTGATTACATGGGTAATTACCCTGTCATGTTGTTCATGGGAAATGTGGATAATTTGCAATGACCATTTTGGTATAGTTTACTCACTATTATAGGAATGTCCTTTCTGCCTGTTTCAGTGCAATCAAGTTTATTTCTTCCTGTGTTTGGTATGACTTTTTGTATTTTATCAGAACTGGGGTTTGAATACAATGTCTTAGAACTTGTTAGGCAGATGCTCTACTGCTTGAGCATGCCTCAGCCACTTTTGATTGTTATTTTTTTAATAGTGTCTCTCAATTATGCCTAGACCAGCCTGGAGCATGATCCTTCTACTTACAATTCCTGCATAGCTAGGATGTCAGGCATGCATTACCACACCCAACTTTTATAGGTTGAGATGGAGTTTCATGAACTTTATGACAGGGCTGACCTTAAACTGCATTTTTTCAATCCCCTTCCAAGTAGCTAGGGTTACAGGCATGAAATAACCCATCAAGCTTATTTTTAAAGTAAGTCGAGATTACTAATACCTTTCTCCCCTCACTAATCTTCCTTCTGTGTGCCTTTCTTAACTTAAAAATCAGTCTTTTTTTATTTGTCAGATTTTTCTGTCTTTGGAAAACCCTTAATAAGATTAAGACTAATTGTGCCCATCCAGCTTCTGCTAGTGGGCATTTCTTTCCTACGCATACAAACTGTGTAGTGAATAGTTTGTATGGGTAATAGGGTAAGTAGTCATTCTGGTTTGCTTAGGCCTGTTACTCCTAAGCCAAGATAGTCTTAGGCAAATCAAGATAGTCATTCACCTTAATGTAAAGCCGATTCTTGTTTTTGTTTTTTTCCCTCCCAGTGGGCCTAGAGCAGGTTGAAAAAATAAAGTTCTGCAAGTGTCATTATATTGAAGATAACTGTTTGCAGAAGCTTAGTCAACTTGAAAACTTACAGAAAAGCCTATTGGAAATGGAAATCATTGCCTGTGGGAATATCACAGACAAGGGCATCTTCGCTTTGCTTCATTTCAGGTAGGTGCTCAATGCCCAAATGAAAACTTGGTAACAATAAAGTGGATAAGGTGATGTAACACATTCTTCATGTAAGTTTTCTGAAACGTAACAAATTGAATTAATTCATAATGCTAATTAATTAATTAATTCATAAGTGGAAGTGACTTTTGCTTTCCTTTTTCAGAAACCTCAAGTATTTGTTTTTAAGTGATCTTCCTGGAATAAAAGACAAAGACCTAATTGCCAACGCCTTTAAGACTTCACTGCCTTCTTTAGAAATAAAGTTAAACTTGGAGTAAAATAATAAGCGTCTTATTTAACTGTAACAAATCATCTGAAATTGTTGGTCCTAAATTGCAGCAGATATTCAATAATCAACATAATATAATATAATGGTTAGATGTGGAGAGTCTATCATACATAGAAAATAGACATTCAGATGTGACTTAGTAAAATTACTATCAGAAGTAAGAAAATATGTATATTTAAGTCTTAAGAAAAATGCTTAAGTAATGCTTAATTCTAATGTATTAATGTAAGTATATAGTAAATATCTCAATGTAGATATTTAGAATTCTTTAAATTTATTTAACTATAATATATTCTTTATTGAATTATAGTAGTTTACATTTTAATTTTAAAATTATGAAGCATGTTACTATACTTGTGCAATTATGAAAATTGGAAGCTCAATTATAGATCCATTGATGGAGTCAGTTATGCAAGGTAGACTGGTTGTGGAGGCCTGCTTACACATGCTTCCCAAGGGCTTCGTGCATTTCTCATAAGCCTGCATTATTGTGTTCTTCACAATGACAATATAAACCTTTTCTTTTTCTTTCTTCCTTTTTTTTTTACAGTACTGGGGCTTGAGTTCTGGGCGCTGTCCCTGAACTCCTTTTGCTCAAGGCTAGTGCTCTACCATTGAGCCACAGCACCACTTCTAGCTTTTTTTGTAATTAATTGGAAGTAAGAATGTCATGGACTTTCCTGCCTGGACTGGCTTCTAACTGCAATCCTCAGATCTTAGCCTTCCAGCTAGGATTACAGGTATGAGCCATCAGCACCCGATTATAAGCCTTTTTTTAAGTCCCCTTTCTCCAAGTAAAAAATTGCTGGATAATTTGTCTATTTTGTCATCTCAAGTTAGTATTTTATTAAAATCATAGATGAGGGCTGGGAAGGTGGCTCAGTGGTAGAGCGCTTGCCTTGCATGCATGAGGCCCTGGGTTTGATTCCTCAGCACCACATAAGCAGGGGAAAAAAAGCCAGAAGTGGTGCTATGGCTCAAGTGGATGCGCACTAGCCTTAAGCTGAAGAGCTGAGGGACAGCGCCCAGGCCCAGAGTTCAGGGCCCACAACTGGACCCCCTAAAAAATAAAAAATAAAATAAAATCATAGATGAAAGTCTGGAATTCAAATAACTTTTGCTAACTGCGATAGAACAGCCATACATACCAGCAGACTACACTTACTTTTCATCAATTAATGCCAGTGGCTCATGCCTGTAAACCATTGCTACTCTGGAGGTGGAAACCTGGAGGATTGCACTTAAAGCCAACCTAGGCAGAAAAGATCAAGAGATTCTGTCTCCATTAATCAGCAAGATGCTGGATTGGAGGTTTGGCTTAAGTGGTAGAGCACCAACCATGAGCAATCAAGCTAAGCATAAGTGTAAAGAACTGAATTCAAGCCCCAGGATTGGTATACACACATTCTTCAAACAGAAAATTTTAATATGTCAATTAGAAATTAATTTTTCTTCCTTCAGTATCTTGGATGCTACCTTCTATGAGCTCAAGGGATATCAAAAGAAGTAGAAACACAAGCAGAAAAGTGAAGCTATATCTAGAAAACCATAATAAAGTATGCCATAAATAGATAAAAAATATTTTATCCACTTGAAATAGCTGGTTCTTTTATTATCATTTGCTAACTTGTTTGTGAGTTTCTATATGTTTTATTTGAACATTAAAAGATTAAATATAAGATTGACCAAAAATGATCTTAAAATATATTTTTTATGATACTGCTTTCAGGCAGAAATGGAACTTTAGTTGTATATAAGCTTATAGGGAAAATATTCACCCATAGTTAATGAGGAAATGCAAATAGCGTATAGCATAAGTGATATAATACTTGCTAGTATCACTGTCGTTTACAATTCAGAAAGTAGTAAATAAAAAACAAGGATGTAGAATAGTCTTATATGATGAGGTGGTGATTCCATGCTGAAAAAAGGGATTATGGTTAGATGAGCATAAGCATACAGTCAATAGAACTGAGTAGAGAAAAGATGAGCCCTTTTTCTCAGGTTTATTTCATTCCTGAGTTGAGACGACTAAGCATGATGTAGTTTGGAGCTGCTTTTCTAGTCTAAATGTTTTGCTGTAAAATTACTGAGTGATTTAGGTGGTTATAGTCATCTGTGTCTGTTAATATATTGTTCTTGGGTTAAAGAAAAAAGGAAGACAATTCTAACTAGTCACAGAAGTTGGATACCCTTCCTCATCATTTGAGTCAAAGCTATGTAACAGAAATTATATGGGTCAAGAAGCTAATACATTAGGAACCGTATGATAAGTAAACTAGCTGGGTAGCCAGAATTCTTGAACAAATGACAAAATGTGGAGAAAATTTAGTGGATTACTTAGCAGTAAGTGAATGGGGACAAATGCTGTCATGAAAAAAAAATGAATACAGGAAGAAACTGAGCATGTAGAAGAAACAATGTGAAGATAGAGTAAAGTGCCACATTGAAGACTGGCTGAGAATTGCTAGAAAATAGTGAAGCACATGAACCAGAAATGGTGATGAATGGTAAGAAAGTGACATGGGGCTTTGACACCGTTGTGTCCAGGGTCAAGGAGGAAAAAGCTTTGGTTAGTACTAAGTAAGCCAAATCAAAGGCAATTGCATATCATTATAAATCTCACTATACAAACCTAGAAATCCTCAATATGACTTTGTACTACTTTCTTATTGGTGCTCATATATTAGTTGTTAGAATAGAATGTATATGTATACAAGTATATATGTGTGAGTGTACATACATTTGTATATACACCTAAAAGATGCTTTAGGGAGTTAACAAAATATAATTTAACAAAATATCAGTTAACATGACCTGAAGGTCACAAACAGTTCTAAAACGCCTAATTTGTAGAACTATCTCCAAGCCTGAGGCTAAGCTAGGGAGAAAGAAGTACTAATTAATTTTAGGCTGACAGGTTCAGTTCCTGTGAAGCTTGGTGGTCTTGTTCTACCTGTTGACCACCTGGGTCAGCCTCTAAGATTCATGCCATTGGTTTTGTTTTTGTTTTGTTTTGCAAGTCCTGGGGCTTGAACTTAGGGCCTGGGCACTGTCCCTGAGCTTCTATTGCTCAAGGTTAGCACTCTACTACTTGAGCCACAGCACCACTTCTGGCTTTTTCTGTTTATGTGGTACTGAGGAATCAAATCCAGGTCTTTATGCATGCTAGCAAGTACTGTAGCAACATTCCCAGCCCTCATGCCATTGTTGAAAGGCAATTTAGGTTAGCAGGTGTAGATGGATTAGTAATCTATCTTGACAGCAAAAATGACTTAAGTTGTATTTTTTTACTAGAGATAAAGAGAAAAACATAAGCTCAATAGATCACACTTGTAATCCTAGCTAATTGAGAGATGGAGCTCAGGAGGATCATAGTTCAAGGACAGACTTGGAAGAAAGTTCTTGAGACACCCCCCCCCCCCAACCACTCTCCCCACCCCCCACCCCCTCCACCCCCGTCTCAACCATCAAAAGCTAAGCATTTGTAGTGCACCATCCCAGTTATATGGGAAGCACAGTGAGGATTATTGTGGTCCATGCCTACCCTGGGTATAAATGCAAGACCCTATCTGAAGAGTAACTAAAGCAAAAAGTTCTAGAGGTATGGCTCAAGTGGTAGAGCACCTGCCTAGCAAGCACAAGCCCTCAGTTCAAACCCATGACTGCCAAAAAAATACTAGAAGGTATATATATATGTGTGTATACACACACACACACACACACACACACACACATATAAACAAACTGGTACACAAACATAAAATTGTAGTATTTATTTTTTTGGTCGGCCGTGGGGCTTGAACTCTGGGCTTGAGCGCTGTCCTTGCGCTCTTCAGCTCAAGGTGAGCGCTCTACTGCTTGAGCCACAGAGCCACTTCTGGTTTTCCAGTGGTTTATTGGAGATAAGAGTCTCACGGACTTTGCTGCCCGGGCTGGCTTTGAACCATGACCCTCAGATCTCAGCCTCCTGAGTAGCTAGGATTACAGGTGTGCACCACTGGCGCCTGGCTTGTAGTATTTTTTAATAATATGTTTTTAGATATTTTGAGCAACTTATATATATTTTTAAAGTGTGCTCATCCTTGACTTGAACTCAGGGTTTAGGCACTGTCACTAAACATTTTTTTCCCCCTCAAGGCTAGCACTCTACCCCTTGAGTCATAGCCCTACTTCTAGCTTTTTGGTGGTTTACTGGAGATAAGAGTCTCATGTATTTTCCTGCCTTGGCTAGCTTTGAACCACAGTCCTCACATCTCAGTCGCCTGGGTAGCTAGGAATATAGGCGTGAGCTACCAGCGGCTAGCTCAAAGAATGTTTTAAAAATATAAAAATCAAGAGATAGAGCAAGCAAACAGGAAATATAATTTTAACCTTTTCATCTCAAGAACTAAAATTATCCTTAAATACGTTGAAACAATCAGAAAGGCAGGAGATAAGATTCAAGGCAACGGAGATCCAGGAAAACACAGCCATTTTGTAATCCATTTTTTACATGTGGTATATAGTACAACTGAAGCATGAATCTTTTTGATATCATTAATTTTTTTAGAGTTATGGGCAGTAGACACAGTTCTTTTCATAAGCTTAGCAGCTGAGATAAAAAAAGAAAAACATAAGTGAAACTCTAAACAAGTTTTTCCTTTCTGCTGTGGATCGAATCAGCAGACCTAGGTCTGGAATTTCCCATCGTGTCTTGCCAAGTGGCCTCCCAATCACTTGCTTATGTTTCCTCCTGGTATGTTTACAATACTCTTGCTTTGTTTTCAAAAGTGTATGTTTTGTGTCTTCAACATTGAGCAATTCTTCCTTTATCATCAATCTAAGCTCCTTAAATGTTTGGAAAACGGTAGCTAAGTTTCTTAGTATTACAGTAGTATTTCTTGTTATCCAAAGCTGGAAGGATGCTGCTGCTGGTTAGCTGAGGTAGGTACTGCAAATGAAAATGCAAAACACAGTTAACAGGGCCTTATATTCCCCCCCTCACCACCCCCCCAGCCCCATTATTTAGAATGCATCACAAAAGGGGCAATTCAGGAACTTTTTCAGCACATAAATTCCCTTTTGATTGTGTGTGTGTGTGTGTGTGTGTGTGTGTGTGTGTGTGTAATATGATAGAAAATGGAAGAAAAACATTCTAACACAGTAAGTGGCCTATCTCAGGGCCCTGGGGTTCGTGTAGTACCTATTCCTAATGACCACTGCATCTATTTCCTCCAAACCACACACAGCCCCAGATGCATTCTGTTTTAATCAATGGGGGCTACCAATGGAAAGACTTAGGCAATATAAGGCATAGCTTAGGAAGTACATAGAAAATCCAGAAGTGACCAAGAGCAGCCAGTCCAACTATGGTCTATCTGTTCTAAATTGCTAGATTTTGCCTTCAATCGAGACACTCATGTAAGGCCATTTAAACACTTTGCACTAATCAGGATTTTTTTTTCCCCCAGTACAGGGCCCTTTGAACTTAGGGCTCACAGGCTCACTTGGCTTGCTTGCTCAAAGCTGGTATGCTCTATTACTTGAACCATGCATCCATTCTAGCATTTTGTTGGTTAATTAGAGACAGCATCTGGACTTTTCTCCTAGGTCTAATCTCAGCTCCCTGAATAGCTAGGATTGTAAGTGTGAGCCACTGGTACCTAGCTACCAGTCTGGATTCTTAATGAGTTCTCAGAGTGCAGTTGGATGTTGTTGTTGTTGTTGTTGTTTTGTCAATCATGGGGCTTGAACTCTGGGCCTGAGCACTATTCCTAAGCTCTTCAGCTTAAGGCTAGTGCTCTACTACTTGAGCCACAGCACCACTTCTGCCTTTTTCTGTTTATGTGGTACTGAGAAATGGAACCCAGGGCTTCATGAATGCTAGACAAGCATTCTATCACTAAGCCACATTCCCAGCCCTGGATGTTATTCTTGAATGTGCTAGTGATCTACCACTTGAGCCACAGCACCACTTCTGGCTTTTTCTGTTTATGTGGTACTGAGGAATGGAACCCAGGGCTTCATGCATGCTAGGCAAGCACTCTACCACTGAGCCACATTCCCAGCCCTGGATATTATTCTTGAATGTGCTGCCTTGGTGGCATCCTGCAAACACGCATGGCTGGATTTACCACAGCCAATTCTGGCAAAGGACTAGGGAAAATAGTTATTAATGTTGTTAATAGTTGTTAATATTAATACAGAGGGTAAACCTGATTTCATTTTCAAAAGCGCAAGGAGCATGTACTAGTGGACCTGGCTGTGTCAGAAACTCCGGATCCCCTGTGGCAGCAGGAAACAGCAGGCAAAGGGCACCCTTTAGGACTTGGGAAGAAGGGGCTGTAGGAGGCAGATGTCCCTGCGTCCCTGATAAATCAGGTAATTGGTTTCCTAGTGCCAGAATGAAGAGGTCAGAGTATGGTAGTGGTTTTGAACTCAGATTCCAGCTCTGCATATGGTGGCAGGTATGCAAGCATTTGAAACTATAACCTTGGGTGTTTTTATACCATAGTACACCACTCTTACCCCAGGCACGTGCTTCCGGCTCTGCCGTAAGGTCTTCCTCATTTGTCTGTTAGGTTCTCTGGTCAAATCCCCTACTTTTCTGATGCTGTCAAAATATGGGTGCTGTAGTAGCTGTTCACACGTCAGCCTCTCAGCAGGGTCCATGTGCAGACAGCCCTGAAAAAACACACAATTCTTTTAAATCGTTTGAGCTTACTAATCTAGTAAGAGTAAACTCATTTTTTTATCACTTTAAATGATGCAATAATTGTATTTATAGAGTACAGTGAAATAATTTGATATATTTTTCAAATGTGTAATGATTATCAAATTAGGGTAATTAGTATTTCCATTTCCTTAAATACTATTTTTAACTTTTTTTTTTTTTTTATCAGGGTCTTGCCCTTGCTAGGCAAGTGTTTTACTAGTTGAGTCAACCCCCAGCCTTTTTTGCTTTAGGTTCACATAGAGTCTCATGCTTTTACCTGGGCCCCAAACCATAATCTTCTTAATTCCATCTGTAACTGGGATTATAAATGTGAACCACCATGCTTTGCTTGAGCTGAAGAATGCAAGGACAGAGCCCAAGACCAGAGTTCAAGCCCTATGACCAACAAAAAAAAAAAAAACAAAACAAAACTAGAGATCCTCAGATCTCAGCTTCCTGAGTAGCTGGGATTACAGGCATGAGTCACCAGCATCTAGCCTTTTTTTTGGGGGGGGGAGGGGTCTGGTCATGGGGCCTGAATTCTGGGCCTGGGCGCTGTCCCTCAGCTCTTCAGCTCAAGGCTAGTGCTCTACCCCTTGAGCCACAGTGCCATTTTCGGTTTTTTTTTTTCTTCTGCTTATGTGGTGGTGAGGAATTGAACCCAGGTGAGGAATTGAACCTCATGCATGCAAGGCAAGCGCTCTACCACTGAGCCACCTTCCCAGCCCCAGCATCTGGCTTTTAAACAACATTAAAATCAAAATGTATTTCACATGTACTAGGAAGTTACTATTTAAAGGTTTATATACCTCTGAATTTTTTTGAAGAAAGAATCCCTTTGTAAAACAAATACTACCCTTTTAAATTTTACATTTTGTATAAATTTAGATTTAAAATATGATGGTAGGCTTATTTAAAGGACACAGATGTTTCAACTATAATAGAATATCCCCTTTTAAAAATTGAGAGAATTCTAAAAAGAACACTTCATGAACTGGTACATGTAATGCTGATGACAGCTATTGTCTTATTTCTGCTGAAGCCATAAATTTACCTTCAAGAGCTCCAGGGCAGGATAAGAGATATTTGGAAATTTTAACTCCAATGGTTCCTGTTGAAAAGAAAAGGAGCCTTTAATTTATGACATACATTCAGATTAAGGTTCCTCCAAAGGCAACCTTTCTCTGGAATAGAATTATCTTCTTGACACCTTCCTGGCCACCTCCACCTTTCCCCAAGTCACCTTCCCAGTAACAGCTTCTCTCTGTCTGCCTCTGCCTCTGTTTCTCTCACTGTCTCTATCTCTCTCTTTCTGTCTCTGTCTCTTCTCTTTTTCTTGGTGCCAGTCCTGGCACTTAAACTCAGGGCCTGAGCATACGCACTGTCTCTGAGCTTTTTTGCTCAATGCTGACACTCTACCACTTGAGTCAAGCTCCACTGGCTTTCTGGTAGTTAATTGGAGATAAGAGCCTCTTGGACTTTCCTGCCAGGGCTGGCTTCAAACCCTGATCCTTAGATCTCAGCCACCTGAGTAGCTAGGATTAAAGGGATGAATCCCAGCATCAATCTCTTAAGCTCCTCTCCTACTTCCAAATGACTTTCCAAATTTACTTCCTTTTTGGGGTGGGGTAGGGTAGGGGGATTCCTAGCCATTCCCTTTACATACTGAAGAAGCTAGCAAATTACAAATAAATTCTAATGAAAAAAATAAAAGTTTTTGTTTTTTTTTTTAACCACAATTTCGGTAACTTGCCTTTCCTGAGAAAATCAGGCACTGGATTATTGTATTTTACACTCCTATAAAGGGAGCTTCAAAATACAGTTTTTTCTTACTCAACTGAACAGATGCTTCATGGATTTCTAGCATAAACACTGTGTCTCCTCCCACAAGAGCCTGTGGGTCCCCAATCCGCTCCCAGCTTAAAGAGTCTCCTGAGTAGGCATTCATCCATCTCCCATTGGCCATATAAGGCTATTCTGCTCAAGTCACATGCTGCAGTCACTGAAGGAAGGCTGCTGACCAGATAAAGAGACATCCCACTGACAAAAGCTATCTGAGGAGGGAGGCTGCTGAAAGAAGACCAGCCAAGCTGAGGAAAACAAATGGCCCTAGTGTGTTGTGGGTATGAAGATAGCACAGTGTAAGCGGCTGGCCAGAGCAACTGGCCAGACTCATCTAATGAATCATCCCTGTGCTATGTATGGCCTAGCATTGGAGTGCAGTGTTATGACTGAGAACCAGCTCCAACTATCAATTCGCAATTGTCTACATGCAAATCACTGATTACAGGGCAGAGCCTGACTTACACTCTCTCAATCAGCTTTTTACTCAGGGCTGGTGCTCTATCACTTGAGCCATGCCTCTAAGCATTTTCTGATTAATTGGAGTCAGAGTCTTAGATTTCTCTGCCCAGGTTGACTTCCAACTGGATCCAGGTGTCAGCCTCCTGAGTAGCTAGGATTACAGATGTGAACTATTGGTGCCTAGCTGAGCCTAAGTTTCTTACATTCAACAGAAGGGGAGAAAAATCCTAAAGCAGATTTGTTGACAAATCTGAGGGTGTTAATACAAAGCACTTAAGAGTAGCTTCTAACTCCCTTTCCCTCCCCATAGTCATAGTTTTTCCTCTTGTGTGAAATGTGGGGATTGATATGATGTTGGCTAAGATCGGGCCCTGCTGTCTCAGCAACAATGCCTCTGAGGAGGCCTGCAGGCTGCTGGTGATGCACACCCCAGCCTGCCAGTGGAGCCAGTTCCTCACTCCCAGCAACCATCAGGCCTCCCTGTCGAGGTTACTGACCCCGCAGAGGGACTGCAGCACAGATGTTGAAGTGTTCAGCCCCCGCTGCTTCTTCCTGTGTTTGTGTCAACAGGAAATCTCCTGCAGGACCATCTCTGAGAGACCATGGGAAGGTTTTTACATTTATGAAACCTGGGCTGGTTCTGATGTCTCAGCACAGACAATCCAACTGGAAAGTGCTAAGGGATATTTGGAGCATAACTAGGAATGTGCAGGTCACCAGGGAGCCAGCTGGGTCGTCTCCCATCTGCCAGGTGTCATTCCTCCCTCTCTGTCCCAGCATGACCCATTTTTCCTAAAGCTGGTGCTGCAGGACAGGATGGGGGGAGGGTGCTGGGGCAGAAGGGGTGAGGGAAGAGACAACACAAGCATGGGAACAGACGGAACTTGCACTAGGAAACTCTAAGTAACTGTAGGGTTCGTTTCTGTTATCTGGATGTGGTGGCTTGCATCTGGGATCCTAGCTACTTAGGGAGGCCTGTAGGTAGGAAGTTGAGGCTGAGGCTGGTCTCAGGCAAAACCTTGAAACCCTACCTGAAAAATAACTAAAAGCAAAGAAAGGAAAAAGAGGGCTGGGGCATGGTTCAAGAGGGTGAGCACCTGCCTAGTAAGCATGAGGCCTTGAGTCCAAAACCTCACTAATGCCTTCTCCCCCCTAAAACCCATAAAGAATAAAAAAAAGTTGGGGCTGGGAAGGTGGCTCAGTGGTAGAGCGCTTGCCTTGCATGCATGAGGCCCTGGGTTTGATTCCTCAGCACCACATAAGCAAAAAGAAAAAAGCCGGAAGTGGCGCTGTGGCTCAAGTGGTAGAGTGCTAGCCTTGAGCTGAAGAGCTGAGGGACAGCACCCAGGCCCAGAGTTAGGCCCCACAACCAGTAAAAATCAAAACAAAACAAAAAGAATAAAAAAAGTTTACTTCGAAATATCATTACAAAGAAATACTGTTAATATTTTTGTATATAAACATATGGGCATTTATTTAACAAATATAAATCTTTTTGCATGACTTTCCAGAGGTTTATTTGTATTATTTTATACTTATGATATAATTTGTATATATACATTATATATTTTGTTAAATGTTTATTTGAATTATATCAGATTATATACTGTTTGTTTTATGTACTGTTTGTTTTGTTTTATATTCGTCCATCATAGGTCTTGAACTCAGGGCCTGGGCACTGTTCCTGAGCTCTTTTGCTCAAGGATAGCATTCTACCATTTTAGCCACAGAGCCACTTCCAGTTTTCTGGTGGTTAATTGGAGATAATGTCATGGCCTTTCTTGCCCAGGCTAGCTTTGAAACATGATCCTCAAATCTCAGCCTCCTGAATAACACAGCCTCCTGTGTATACACAGATACACAGACACAAATACACATAGACACACACAGACACACACACACACACACACGGATCCTGAGCTACCCAGAATCAATTGATAGCAATGATAAATGACAGGTCCAACCAGGGAAAGAAGTTCCCTGGTTGGCAAACTGTTTCAACATTAAATCAGCATTGAGACTAAGAGCTTGTTAGCCAAATTTACTCTACTTTTCCTTTTCAAAACTTCCAAGGCAGAGTGAGCCATGGGGCCCAGATAAGTTACTAGCAAAACCTAGCCAGCCTTCTCTCTAAATTGGTCACTCACCATGTCTTCAGGGTCTGGGATTTCCACTCCACTGAAATACTGATTCGTGCTAAATACTTGTTGGTGTCTGGGTATGAGATCCCCTTTAAAACAAGAAGAAAGATAGAGGCAACACTTGTTAACAAACAGCGAACTATGGTCCCTTTTATGGAATCTATGTTTGTATCTATACCACCAAAAGATGCAAGGTGGTTTTATTTTTCTCCCAATCAAGAGAAGCATTGAGTATTGAGCTCTACAACAGACAGTACACCGAGTCAGGCCCAGAGGTGGTAAGCTACAGAAACACAAGGCTGCAATACTCTTTTATTTATTTATTTTTTTGGTTGGTCGTGGGGTTTGAACTCTGGGCTTGGGTGCTGTCCCTGCACTCTTCAACTCAACGTGAGCGCTCCACCGCTTGAGCCATAACACCACTTCCGGTTTTCTAGTGGTTTATCGGAGATAAGTGTCTCATGGACTTTCCTGCTCGGGCTGGCTTTGAACCAGAATTACAGGCGTGAGCCACCAGCACCTGGCTAAGGCTGCAATACTCTTGCTCTCAAAGGTTTACCATGTATTTGAGGAACCCAAATCAAGCAATTCAAACAATATATGCAAATAATGCGTTAAAAAATAACAAGTGTGGGGCTGGGAGGTGGCTCAGTGGTAGAGCGCTTGCCTTGCATGCATGAGGCCCTGGGTTCGATTCCTCAGCACCACATAAGCAGGAAAAAAAAAGCCGGAAGTGGCTCTGTGGCTCAAGTGGTAGAGCGCTAGCCTTGAGCTAAAGAGCTGAGGGACAGCGCCCAGGCCTAGAGTTTAGGCCCCATGACCGGACCCAAAAAAAATAAACAAAAACAAACAAACAAAAAAAAAAACCAAGTGTAACAAGTACAAGTTGAAATTATATTAATTGAATTCTGACAAAAATGTACATGTCTAGCCATTAGAACAATTCCTGACATACAGCAGCAAACTCTCAATAAATATTTTAAAGAGAGAGGGAAGACAAGGAAGGAAGAGAGAAAGGAACATAGAAGATTATGGAAGATTTTTCAGATAGAAGGACTACATTCCAAATGGAACCATGATTTCTCCTTCTTTCACCAGTTACTAATCTGTTGGAAATACATTTCATCTACTGTTTAGAAGATTTATCAGAAGCATTGAATCAAAAGAAGCATTTTTAGATTCCAGGAGCCTTTGTGAAGCTCAGTCTGCACACATTGCAGCCACGTGAACCAAAATCCCTCTCATGTAAAATTCTAGGGATATTACAGGAATTTTGTTTGTATGGAGGTACTCTGGGAGGCCTTGCTGGGCTCTGGGAGGCGTTTGGCAGGGTGCAGTGGAAATGAAGAGCCTCCCGACAGAGCCCTGCACATGCTACCAAATGAACGAGGCTAGAGTTCCTATGCTAGAGTATCACATTGCTGAATTTTACTGAACTCGCACACATCCAGGAACCTCATCCCATTTTAAGTGATCAGGTAGCCTTTAAGCAAGGGATCAGCGTTAGCTACTCAGGAGGCTGAGATCTGAGGACCATGTTTTGAAGCTATCCTGCTCAGGAAAGTCCATGAGATCCATACCTCCATTTAACCAGCAAAAAGCCAGAGGTGGAGCTGTGGCACTGGCCCCTTGAGCACACTAGCTCAAGGATATAGTTCACAGGTCCTAAGTTCAAGGGCCAAAACCAGCATGCGCGCGCACACGCACACACGCGCACACACACACACACACACACACACACCGTAGCCTCTGATTCCTTGTCCCAGACCCCAGTGAACATTAGCATGATAAGTAATTTTCAGTACCCTAACAACCTTTTTTCATCACAACTGTAGGGTTCTAAAATCACTGGAGGAATACCAGAAGGCTACGTGCCTTCTGCCTGGACTACAAGATGTCTGCAATATTCAGACACTGGTAAAGGATAAATTGAAATATAAGACAAGATCTCACCTTTAGGAACCTTCGAGAAACAACAACAACAAATACAAGGCAAGCTGGACATTGTAATGCAGAGGCAGGAAGAGGGTTGAAGGCCGGCCTGTGCTATATTGTCTCTCTCAAAATCCGGAGTAGGGACATAGCTCAGTGCATTGGCAGTGTTCTTGCCTAGCATGCACAAGGCTCTGGGCTCAGTCCAGCATCTTCCATAGAGTCAGGATGATCCAAAGTAATTAGGTAAACGGGTTAAGAATATACAAATGAAATGACAACAACAGAATACAGGTTGAATAGCCCTAATCCAAAAATTCTGAAACCCAAGGTGTCCCAAAACCTAAAACTTTTTGAGTGCCAATGTGACACCACAAGTAGCAAATACCACGTGACCTTACATGATGGGCTACAATAAAAACATAGACACATTAACAATATTGTATGTAATTACCTTTAAGATAAGGTATGAGGTGGATATAAAAGTATTCTGTGAGCCGTGCGCCAGTGGCTCATGCCTGTAATCCTAACTACTCAGGAGGCTGAGATCTGAGGATCGTGGTTCAAAGCCATCCAGGGCAAGAAAAGTCCATGAAACCCTTATCTCCAATTAACCACCAGAAAACCAGAAGTGGTGCTGAGGCTGAACTGATAGAGCACTAGCCTTGAGCTGAAGAGCTCAGGGACAGCACCCAGGCCCAGAGTTCAAGATGCATGACTGACAAAAAAAAAAAGTATTCTGTGCTCATGAGGCATGACAGACAGATGAGAAGACAAACAAATTACATTCCTTTCAGCAAACATCCAAAGGCTCAGAAAATAAAACCAGGAAATATGCTGAAAAAGCAGTGAAGCACCCCTCCCATCACACCTACTTCTGGATGCTAAAGCAAAAGATTAGGTGACCTAGAAGAGGCTGTCTAAATCTGCCATCTCCTTCAAAATGGTAAAAATCTGGGGACTCTTTATAAAGGAGTAGACAGAAAGAATGCAAGGCGTGCCAGGTGCTGGTGGCTCACACCTGTAATCCTAGCTACTCAGGAGACTGAGCTTTGAACCCAGAAAAATCCATGAGACTCTTACCTACAATTAACCACCAGAAAACTGGAAGTGGCACTGTCTCAAAGTGGTAGAGTGCCCCAAGTTCAAGCCCCACGACCAAGACACACACACACACACACACACACACACACACACACACACACACACACACACACACACACACACAGACTTGTTTGGACAAAGAAAACCCTAAAAGTTACCTGAGTTTTGAGTGAGCCCCACTTAGCTAGCTTACCTACTCAGAACCATTTTTAAGGATTAAGAGTTGCTAGACTGAAATACCCACATATACTTGCCCAGCTCAAAAAGTATAAAAGCTACAGCTAGGAACTGCTATTTTGAATCTTTTCTTTTGGTCCAAGACTGATTTGAACATAGTACCTGATACTTTCACTCACTGGCTAGAGCTTTACCAACTAAGCCCTGCTAACCATTGCTTGAATCTTTAACTCCCATTTCCTGCATGGAGAGAAGAAAATGTCTCCATTTCTCCCTACTTAAAACCTGTTATACTAAAATAAATCCTTGCTAAAGTTTTCATCTTATAAAACTTTCCTTTGGCTGGACACCGGTGGCTCACAAGGCTGAGATCTGAGGATCACAGTTCAAAGCCAGCCCAGGAAAGCAAAGTCTGTGCAACTCTTATTTCCAATTAACCACCAGAAAACTGGAGGTGGTGCTGTGGCTCAAGTGGTAGAGCGCTCGACCTGAGCTGAGCTCCCATGCCCACAGTTCAAGCCCCATGACCTGGCGGGGGGGGGGGGGGGGGGGAGGGAGGCAGAGACAAAAAAAAATACCTTTTCCTTTGTGTGAGACACCCTGAAATGCTTTACATGAGTGGATCTCAAGAATTTGTGATTTTTCTGGGTGATTGGGAAGCAGAAGAACCTCATCATCCATTCTCCTGTCACATTTAGACTTGAGTCCCAGTCCTAAGATACCTCATTAAGGATATATAAAGATTCCAGAATCTGAAACACTTCAGGTCCCAAGCATTTTGGATATGAACTAAACTGTGAAAGCGTTCTCCCAACTGCTAGGCTTTTTAGAAATGTAAATTTCTACATGGAAGTTAAGTTAATGCAAATCATGTCATCTAGGCATTTAGAAAATGTTCAGTGATTGTTCATTATTTTTACAGAAACAAATGTGGGTATTGGGCTGGGAAGGTGGCTCAGTGGTAAAGCGCTTGCCTTGCATGTATGAGGCCCTGGGTTCGATTCCTCAGCACCACATAAGCAAAAAGAAAAAAGCCGGAAGTGGTGCTGTGGCTCAAGTGGTAGAGCGCTAGCCTTGAGCTGAAGAGCTGAGGGACAGCGCCCAGGCCCAGAGTTCAGGCCCCACGACCAGACCCCCCCCAAAAATTAAAAAAATGTGGATACTTTGAGGTTTCCAAGATGCCCTTTCTGGAACACTAAGGGCGTCAGATAAGCTGGGAACTTGGCTCTTTGTCCCAGAGGTGGGACAAAAACCACACTTACCCAAGGTTTTCCTAATCAGATAGAGCTGATCCATGTCGGACTTTCCAGGCCACAGAGGCACTCCTGACATTAGCTCAGCAAAGACACAGCCAATTGCCCAAACGTCCACTGGGGGGCCATACTGTGTGTCCCCCACCAGCAGTTCAGGGGAGCGGTACCACCTGGTAGCCACATAGTCTGTGTAGTAGTCACTTGGTCCCGCTGGCCAGGGATGGAACATGGAAGACAGAACAATGGAATCCTGCAATCAAAACTAGGAAGGAAACACTTATAGAATCAAGTTCATACCCAAGCCTGTGGTTCTTTGAAATCACTGTTCTCAATGCTGGATTGTACATTCAAATCACTTGGAATATAGCACATAAAGAATTACTGGTGCCGGGCACCAGTAGCTCATGCCTGTAATCTCCAATTAATCACCATAAAACTGGAAGTGACGCAGTGCGCCAGTGGCTTACTCCTGTAATCCTAGCTACTCAAAAGGCTGAGATCTGAGAATCGAGGTTCAAAGCCAGCCCAGGCAGGAAAGTCTGTGAGACTCTTATCTCCAATAAACCACTAGAAAACTGGAAGTGGCACTGTGGCGCAAGCGGTAGAGTACTCGCCTTGAGCTGAAGAGCGCAGGGACAGCACCGAGGCCCAGAGTTCAAGCCCCACGACTGATTTAAAAAAAACAAACGAAGTGGTGCTGTGGGTCAAGTGGTAGAGCCTTCACCTTGAGCTGAAGAGCTCAGGGACAGCACCCAGGCCCATGACAGACAAAAAAAAAAAAAAAGAATTACTAGTGTTCAGGCCACACACCAAACCAATTAAATCAGAGTCTTCTTAGGGAAAGCTTAGGGCTACAGCATAATTTGTCACATTCTGCAGATGATCTGAATCTGCAGCTAAGGTTTCAAATCATTCTAATTTTTTTGGGGGGGGAAGGGGAGAGGTAAAGAAACAGTAGTGAGGTTTGAAGTCAGGACCTTTGAGTTTGCTAGGTAGGCATTGTACCACTGACCACCACTTCCAGCCCCAAATAGCACTTCTGTGAAGTATTATTATAGAGGGGAAAAATAGGGAGAGAGAGAGAGAGAGAGAGAGGGAGAATCCAACCAGGAGACTAGCATACTTTTAATAACTACTTCATTATTATATAATTTATATATTGCACACACATTAAACCACTGTATTTATGTTTTAAAATTATAACTATATCACACAATCCTGTAACTAGAGAATTATAATTCATAGCAAGCTTTCAACCTAAATATAAGTATACAATAATTAGCTTTTGGTAGCATCTAGATCCTTCATCCCATCAAGAACATTTCTGTTCTTTCCACTTAACTAAAGAAAACTTCAGTACTCACTCAGAAGCCGAGCAAATCCAAAATCACAGAGTTTAATCACAGAATGTTTTGTGATGAGGATATTTTCGGGCTTCACATCTCTGTGTATGCACTAGTAACAAAAACATTGTGAAAAAGTAATTATGCCAAATGGCACAAATAAAACTTTTTTTTCTGGTACTGGAGTAGTGCTCAGGGGCTGCCATACTGCTGAGCCACACCTTCAGCCCTAAAACACATGAATATTTAGTAAATATTGCATAATTGAACAATCACTTGACTTTCTCATTGTCTTGTTGAGTAAGACGAAACAGCAGCCTAAAATATATCAAATTCCATTCTATAGTCTGAATCGTCCCTCAAATTCTTTTTTTTCCAAATTCTTTTTTTAACTTAAATATTAAAAAAAAGTCTTTGAGTAGTTGTAAAAAGGGGTTTCAATACAACTTCTCAGATGAATACAATGCATCTCACCTCTTTACCCTCAAAGTCTTTTTTTTTTTGCCAGTCCTGGGGCTTGAACTCAGGGCCTTGAGCTTCTTTTGCTCAAGGCTAGCACTCTACCACTTGAGCCACAGCTCTACTTCTGGCCTTTTCTGTTTATATGGTACTGAGAAAACAAACCCAGGGCTTCATGCATGCTAGGCAAGCACTCTACCCCTAAGCCACATTCCCAGCCCAACCCTCAAATTCTTGAAGAACCCAGAAGGACCAGTAGGATAAACAGCAAAATGAAAATAGGGGCACTAGGCAGTGAATAAAAATACAAGACACTCAGATTTGAATTTCAGATAAACAGCCATTTCTTTCCCCCTGGAAAGTTGGTGCGTAAGCAAAATTCACAGCTGAGTGGCTGAGATCAGTTGGCCTGGTAAACAGGACAAGCCCAGAGCCTGCTGAGATAAGCTGAAGGGCGGGCTGCAGGAGCTAGCCTAGAGATCTGCCTCCCAGCTGCCATTTGTCCTGACAAGATAAACAAGAGCCACAGCAGCCTCACCCTCTTGGGAGAGTCACTAGATGTCAGCGCTGTCCCACACACATCAAATACTCTTGGCTCCACATCCAGCCCTGGGGGATGTGACTCAACTCCATAATTTAGACTCAAATCACCTGGTTTTCAGAACACAGGCTACATTCCTTCACAGGGCAAAATTGGAGAGAAAGAATGCTTGACTTAAAAAAAAAAAATTCAAATGACAATGTCCTTGGCAAAAAAATCCAAACAACAACTTCACTAACAACAACATGAAAAAAAAAAAATTCCAGATCAAAATACTATGCTGAACTCCCATGATCTTCTCCTCTCTGTTGTTTTCCACTTCAGGGAAATGTTGGGTTTTCTCCAATCTGAATCGCTGTTGGCCTTTTTACAATCTGGAAAGAAGAAGGAGGTCTTCTTGGGCCTAACCAGTTTTCACTCCAAAGGCATCTTTAAGTTGAGAGATAAATCTCACTAATTCTTCCCTCATGGGTATTTATTATTCTGTAAAACTTGAGGGGAGGCATTAAAAAAAAAAATGTAATTGAAATCTCTCTGGCTGTCAGGAATGAATGATCCTGAGGGCTCGAATTCATTCCCCAGGGGCTTCACAGCATTGCTATAAATGGGCACATCCACGAATATCATGATGACATATGATCAGAAGACTTGTAACCAAGAATGTGCTCCCATTCTGTTCTGGGAATTCTTTCTAAGTTTCGGTACCCTCCCCCACTGATAATGTGGAGCCTAAACAGCATCTGGGGCTCCCCAGAGAGCCGTGGTATGCATTACATTTGTCTTCTGCTCTCAGATCTCCCCCACACCAGGCCTTTCGTCTCCCTTTCTCCTAAAACCTGCTGGCAGAATAGTGCTAACATCACTCAAATGACTAACAATGGAAAGTGCCCACACTTTCTGATGTACAATGGTAACTTTTTTTTTTCCAGTGTTGGGGACAGAATCCAGCACTCATGCATACTAAATATGCATGCTCCTCCTCTGAGCTACCCTCCCACCTGACCAGGAGTCTAGCCTTCAGCTAATGATGACTCAGTCAGGAGAGGGGCTGAAGGCTCTCATATTTTTTTCCTTCTTTCTTGAAAAAACAAAAAAAACCTTTGGGACAGACAGGCCAGGAACAGGATTTAGCTCTACAAGTTCAACCCCTTAGGAGCTAGCAGGTGGTAGAATAACAAGATTGCAGCTAAAGTGCACTTATGGAAACTTCAGCATCCAGAACTTCTTTTCTTCTTTGTCTTCCTCTGCTGTGGACTGAAGCCAGGGCCATGTGTATGCAGGGCAGGCTCTCTACTACTGAAGCTGACCCCTGCTCTCTGTGTGTAATGAAGGCAGTACTGTATTGGAGGGAGCAGCAGGCTTGCAGCATCTGAAAACTCAAGCTACCATGAAACAAGTATGCTATGCCTCTGCCCCAGCCCAGTTGTGCCTGGGTTTTGTAGAGCCTAAGCAAAAAGGTATATCTCAATTAGGATTTTTATCCTCTTCCACCAACCTGGGCTTGTGAAACTTGGAGTGAACAATTCTATCTACAAAAATTGGATATAAACTTTGTACCAGGCTCCACCTAGCTTAAAGACAGGCATCTGCTTTTTCAAGGGAGATCAGGAAACTTACATTGTGTTTGTGGCAAAAATTGACAGCTTGCAGTGTCTGCCAAGTTATACTCCTCACAAGATTTTCTGGTACCCTAGAAAAATAAAGAGAAACACAAACACACACACATTAGTGCAGTCATGGAATTTAGCTCAAGATGAGAAAAAATAAACTAAGATAGGCTTTGGTAATAATAACAATAAAAAAATCCAAGGCAACAGAATCATTCCAAAGTGTTAAGAATGCATAACCAGAATATTGTTGAGTTCTGGGGACATGTCTTTGTTTTTTATTTGTCAGTCATGGGTCTGGACACTGCCCCTGAGCTCTTTTGCTCAAGACTAGCACCCTACCACTCTGAGCCACAGCTCCATTCCCAGCTTTCTGGTGGTTAATTGGAGATAAGAGTCTCACAGGCTTTCCTGCCCTAACTGGCTTCAAACCACGATCCTCAGATATCAGCCTCAGGAATAGCTAGGATTACAGGTGTAAGACACCAGAACCCAGTCTAACATATCTTTTGACAGGGAGAAACTATGCAAACAAGTGCTTTCCACAAGAAGTACAACAGGCTTTAGTGTCTCCTCACTCAAGCCTTGCATAGCACTGGAAACTTGGGCTCCATTTCTACTACCTTTTTTGGTCTGGCCATATGTGTTTTTTTAAAAATTTTTATTAACATATTAGTTGAACAATGATATTTCCACATACATATACAATATATCTCAATTAAACTCGATCCTCTAATCATTTTCCTTTTTCTTTCTCCCTGCTTTCTCTCTCTCTCTCTGTTTTTTCTTCCTTTCTTCCATTCTTCCTTTCTTTCTCTCTCTTCTTCCTTTCTCTTTCTCCTTCCCTCCCTCCCTCCCTTCCTTTCTTTCCTTCCTTCTTTCTTTTCTCTCTCTCTTTCTCTCTTTCTCTCTCTCTCTTTCTTTCTTTCTTTCTTTCTTTCTTTCTTTCTTTCTTTCTTTCTTTCTTTCTTTCTTTCTTTCTTTCTTTCTTTCTTTCGTGCCTGTCCTGAGGCTTGAATCCAGTGCCTGGGTTTTTTTTGTTTTCTCAAGGCTAGTGCTCTACCACTTGAACCATGCCTTCACTTACAGCTTTTTATTAGTTAATTGGAGATAAGAATCTCACAGGCGTTTCTGCCTAGGCTAGCTTCGAACCTCAGATCTGCTCCTCAGATCTGGCATTTTCTCTGCCTTCTTTTTTTAAAAAACATATTATTATTATTATTATCTTTAAGTAGTTGTACAAAGAAGTTCCCATTCTACAAAACAGCATATGAATACAAAATATCTGACAACATTGTCACCCATTGCTCCTACTTCATCCCTTCTATCACTTTTCTTTTCTTTCTTTTTTTTAAAATTGAGATTAGGTGATTACATAAATTTCAGATATTTCACAGTATTGTAGAATAGTGATACGTAGCTAAAGTCACAAACACATTTTAACCTTCACAAGGCAAATTGTCATTATCATAGTCTATAAAGTTTGTGAGTTCTATGAGCTTTGACAATACAATTATTTCTTTCACATCAGGTGATGGTCACATTTCTTTCCTTTTGCTTAGTGTAAGCTGTTCCCTCTTTCCCTCTCATTCCTCCCTTCCCATCGCTGTCTTTGGGTTGCTTAGTTCTTTTTCTTCTATGTCCAGTGGAGCTGATGGGCCCCTTTGTTGTATGTCATCCTGTTTCCCACTTATTCTGCGTTTCCTCCTGGCTTCCCTCCATTGCACGCATATATATATGTCATATATATGGTCAAGAACATGGGGTCATTTAGCAATGATATGACAAAATGAGTGGCTGTCCTTTGTTTCTCAAGTTCTGTTTACTTTGTCATATTTCCTTGCACTTTGGCTTTAGCATCTACATATCACGGAGACCATGTGCCATTTGTCTCTTTGTTCTTGGCTTACTTCACTCAAAATAATCTGCTCTAGTTCCATCCATTTCCCTGCAAATGCCATTATTTTGTCCTTTCTAATGGCTGCATAATATTCCATTGTATATAGGTACCACAATTTTTGGATCCACTTATCAGTAGTGGGGCATCTGGGTTGTTTCCATATCTTGGCTATTGTGAACTGTGCTGTAATAAACATGGAAGTGCATGTTGTCCTTGTATACTGGTTCCTGTTGCTCAGGGTAGATGCCTAGGAATGGTATGGCTGGGTAGTAGGGGAGGTCTATATTTAGCTTTCTGGGGTATCTCCAGACCTCTGCCCAAGTGGTTCTATTAGTATACAATCCACCAGCAATACAATAGGGTTCCTCTTTCTCTGCATCCCCTCCAGTATTTGTCATGAATTTAGGATGTGGGCCATTCTGACTGGGGTAAGGTGGTATCTCAGGGTTGTTTTTATTTGCATTTTCTTTACAGCCAGGGATGATTAACATTTCCTTATGTGTTCCTTTGCCATTTTAATCTCTTCTTCTGAGAAGTCTCTCTTTAGTTTCTTTGCCCATTTCATGATTGGTTTGTTAGATCTGTGAGGGGTTAGTTTCTTGAGTTCCCTGTATATAATGGATATTAGACCCTTGTCTGATATATTGCTGGTAAATATCTTTTTCCAATTAGTTGGCTTTCTTTCTAGTTTGGTTACTATTTCTTTATGCAGAAACTTTTTATTTTAAGGTAGTCCAGTTTATCGAGTCTCTCTCCAATTTGTTGTGACCCTGGGACTCTGTTCAGGAAGTTCCTGCCTGTGCCTATAAGTTCAAGTGTCTCTCTTATTCTGTCCTGCAGTAGTTTCAGAGATTCAGGTTTGATGTTAAGGTCTTTTGTCCATTTTTGAGTTGATGTTAGTGCATGGTGACAGGCTGGGGTCCACTTTCATTTTTCTGCATGTGGCTGCCCAGTTTTTCCAGCACCAGTAGTTGAAGAGGCTATGATTCTTCCACTGTATGTCTTTGGCTCCTTTGTCAAATATCATCTGACTGTATGTATGCATTGGTCTTCGGGTCTCTTTTTGTGCCAGTACCAAGTTCTCTGCCTTCTTAAAACAATGTCAAGCCCAGTGATGGCGGCTCATGCTTATAATCCCAGCTATTCAGGAGCCAGCCTGGGCAGGAAAGTCTGTGAGACTCCACTTTCAGCTTTTTGGTGCTTACTTGGAGATACGGGCCTCTCTGATTTGTCTACTTGGGCTCAGATCTTGAGATCTCAGTTTTCTGAGTAACTACAAGCATGAGCCACTAGAACCCAGTTAGGTTTTACTGCTTTTATGAATCAAACATTGAATGACATTGTTGTGGGCCTCAGCCAAAACAAGCAAGTAGAATAAGAGGGAAACTCCTGAGTAGTTGAGCTAAAGGTGACCACAAAAAAAGCTACTTGTAGCCCCTGGGAGAGGACACAGGGCCACTGTTGTCACACACCAGATGGTCAGGAAATCCTTTCAAGCAGAGGAGAGGATGCTGGTAGAGAATGGGATACCAGGGAGGAAATGTAGAGGCCACCTCCAGGAAGAAAGGCAGGACAGTTCTAGATCAAGATCACATCCTGGGCTTACGCCACTCCTCTGCTAATTGTCTTCCTTCTTTTAGTGGCATACAGGCACAAATGCTGGAAACCTCACCTGCCACAAAAGAAGCCTAGAATAATGCAGCTAAGAAGGGGACAGCCATGCTCCTCCAGCCTTCACCTTTTGCCAGAGAAAATAGGATATGTCTTAGCTTGGTGCTGGTAGCTTATGCCTGAACCCTAGCCTCTTCGGAGGCTGAGATCTGAGGATTGGGATTCAAAGCCATTCTAGGCAGACTGGAATACTTGGGATTCTTATCTACAATTCCAGCAAAATGCCTGGAGTGGAGATGTGGCTCTAGTGATAGAGAGATAGCATTAGCAAAAAAAACTAAACAAGAGTGCAAGGCCCTTGAGTTCAAGCCCCAATATTGGGATACACACACACACACACACACACACACACACACACACACACACACAGACTATATCTTGATAGTTCAGTGAATTAAGTAGGAATATAAAGTTACCAATGCCAGTAAACTTTAGTCTCTAAAACATTTGCCAAAAGAAATTATGCAAAAGGAGTATTTGAAAGTGAATTATAATAGCCTATCAGTATTCATGTTCCTCTGATGCTGAGTGAATTATTACACAATTCTCAAATGTAGAAATTCTGTTCAGACCATACACTCTAGCAACTCCCTTCCCTCCTTTATTATTAACTTCTCTAGAACATGAGAGCCTCAGACTGTAAGAGCTAAAAGTCTCAGACTATAAGATTCTCCCTCCTCCTGCCTCCTTTTGGTTCTGGTACTGGTGCTTAAACTCAGGGCTTGAGTGTTATTCCTCAGTTTTCCTTTTTGCTCAATGCTAATACTCTACCACTTGAACCCAGCTCCACTTCCAGCTTTTTTTCCACTTTCTTTCTTTTTTTTTTTTTTTTTGGTCCATATGGGGCCTGAACTCTGGGCCTGGGCTCTGTCCCTCAGCTCTTCAGCTCAAGGCTAGCACACTACCACTTGAGCCACAGCACCACTTCCGGCTTTTTCTGCTTATGTGGTACTGAGGAATCGAACCCAGGGTCTCATGGCTCCCTACCTCTGAGCCACCCTCCTAGCCCATCAGCTTTTCTTTTTCTGGTTAATTTGACTGGCTTCAAACTTTGATCCTCAGGTCTCAGCCTCCTGAGTAGCTAGGATGATAGCTGTGAGCCACAGGAGCCTGGCTGTAAGATCACTTTTGATTGCAACACTCTGAGATGGTAAGAGATTTTCACTGAGCTGGAAGAAAGTTATAACCATAGACAAGGAGAGAAATAGAATCTGTTCTGAGATGAGGGGCTGGAATTGGAGCTATGTGTGTATAGTAAGATACATGTCTATGCATATTAAGAAAGAAAGAAGATGGTGCTCACTAGACATCTAAGGGAAGACTTTGAGCGAGCAACTCTGAATTCAAAAAAAAGGCTAGGCTAGACACATAAGCGTGAGAAGTACATGCATACTGTGTATTTAGTGCCTGGGACTAGATTAAAGAGTAAGGCAGATGAGATCTTAAAAGTTCTGGGCTCTTCAACCTCCCAAGGTCTTAAAGAGGACAGGACTGAGCTGAGCACAGAGTGAA